GGGGGATGCAAATGAGGACATAGACTGGCATAGCATATGAATCTGCTCTGTGAATGTACTTTCAGGTACACACAGTCCCACATATGTACAATTATTCTGGAATAAAACCTGTTAAACTTGCAGTTGACTTCCTAGTAAACTGTTTTGGAATGGGTTACATAGACATGAAGTCTCCCATACTGAGGTGTTTTTAGTACACACTAGGAGATATCTGTACAATGTAGGAGCATTCTGCTTATGTTTGCAACTAGGTATATTTTGTAAAATTTATTTTCTGACTTGCAGGCTAGACTTAAATATTTTCGGTAGTATAAGACTGGCCAAATGAACAGACTGCCTTATCATATAGAATAGAATGGTCTCCTCATGCATATGCTAATACAGAGAGGAAACTGGCAAGGAAAGTCAAGCAGAGAAGTGGTAGCACTCGCCTGTGCAGAAAAAAGTGTGTGCATTCCAGGAATTCTTCTCCGTATTTACCTATGGATATTAAGGTCATTGTGTATATCTGTTACTGCATGAAAAAGAAAAAAACAAAAGCCACCACAGCTGTTCATTCACCAACACACCCTTTAAACTGCTTGTCATTTTGACTGTGGAAATAGCAGATTTGTGCAGTTTTTATAATTTTCCAGTGGTTGTCCATTGGTTGTGCTACCAAAAATGCACAGCCATAACTTGAGGTCTTGAATGATGTCTCTCTTAAAGTACAGAGTAGACATTAACAAAGCAAGGCTACCAATAGGTTAATTAGTTGCTTATCTCCTCATCTGACAGCTTTCAAACACTGAGTTAACAAGTGAAGCTGCAAAGGGGTCTTTGCTGAAAAAAATGGGGTATCATGTAGCTCAGCCTCTTCCCAGCAAGATCTGAGAGTTTCGAGGGCAAACTTGACCATTCTCAGTGTTTTCCGGCTTTTCCATCCATTCTGAAGACTGTGAAAAATGTGAATCACCCCATTTATGGAAGCACTACATTTTGGTTACTGTCAAAACTCAGGTTTTCTTCTGAATTGGGCTGATGTTGGGGGGGTTGACAGGGACATTTGCAACCATGACCCCCTCCCGGAAAAAAAAAAAAAAAACCCTGGAGGATCTTTCTGGGAAGAGGATGATCTGCATGCCACTGCAACAGTAGGTGCTCCAAAGAGAAGCTGCAGTGATCAGGAGATTGCCTCCCCTTTCTGGAATAGTTGGAGACTTGGAGAAATTTTGACATGCTCAGAGACACTGAGAAAGGATAGTTCAACACTTAAAATTGAGAGGATCACATTGCTAAATGGGAGGTATTGCATAACCCCACTTTTGGTGCCTCTTCTTTTGCCATGTTAACTGGTGTTTTTCAATTGATAATTTGGCAATTGGACTCTAGCAATTGTGTGCAAAGCATCCTGTATGCAGCCACAATGACGGGTATGTTTAGACATACAAGTATACTATTGTCTTAATTTGTATCTATTTACCAAGGTTTACTCTCCCTCGCAGCAATACAGTTCTACATGAGATATCCCAAGGCACAAGTCCCTCAAAAATGAAGAAAGCAGGAACTTTGTTCCTTCCCATGGTGACTTTTGGTCTCAAAACTTGTCCAGGCTTCAGTTCTTGTAGCTTTGCTTTACTTTTACTTGATAACTGCATTTTGCACTGATAGTATGATTAAGTGCTGAGCAATTTTTGCAGCTGTCTTTTGCATCTACCCCTCCCCCTTTCTAATTTTTCCACCATATCTAGCTTCCCGTCTTCCATTGCCTAAGGTGCTGAATCTGTTCTTATTGTAACTTCCACTTGTGCAGGAAGAATTCATTCACTCTGCATTTTGGAGAGATTAGCCCTTCTTTGCAGCCTCCAAATGACCATAATACATAGTTCAGATATTATGAACATTTACCATGGTCTGAAGACTTCCTTGAAAATAACAATCTTACTTTCCCTCTTAGCTGATAATCACTCCAGGCAGAGGCCAGCTCTTGGCAAGCAGGAGATCAATACATGGCCTGAAGTGCTCAGAGGGCTAGGAGTGAAGATACTTCTTCCTTCCAGGAACTTTTCTTGTGTGCAAAAAAACAGCTGTCCTTGCAGGCTGCTCACAGCAGGACCTGGGCTTTATAGCTCCAGTACTGCAGCAGCTGTTAGCTTTGGAGGCAGAGGAGGATTTACACTTTACAGCAGGTGTTGGGAAACTGGCCCTCCAAACTTTCTTAAACTCCATCTCCCATCAGGCCCAGCCCAGACCAGTGGTCAAGGGCTGTGGTCTAGCAACACTGTGGAGGTTCGCAGGTTCTCCTGCCTTGCTTTAAAGGCAGCCTGCATTCCACTTCATAAACTGGTGGTGCTGTTTTAATATGATTTTTGAAAAGATCTAGCAAAATAGGGCAGGTGGAAGGAACAGATTGCAAAGTTGTGTATTGAAAGAGGTATGTTTCTACCTTTCAGCACAGGTAGAAGGATGCTACAGTAAGGTGCTCTGGGTTTGCAAAATAGTCTCTTCAGTCCCTTGTATTTGTAGCAAAAAGGATTAGCAGAGGACAAGAAATATGCTTCTATGAGACCCAAGGGGAGTCATTTTCAGTCAGTGTATAGTGTTCTGGATGTGATGGATGGTTAGTGTCACTTTCCTGTATTTCTTGTCTTCTGGCCCCTGCCACCATTAGGGATGTGTCCTTGCATGTGTGCTCTTAGACAAAAGATGTGAGCTAGCTATTGATATGATTTTCAAATGGTCAGCACCAGTTTAGAGAAAAACTAAAAATCATTAGATTTTCCAAACAGTTGAGGATTCTTATCAAGGAAGATGAAAACAAATTATCTTCCTGAAGAAGTTTTGGGAAAGGGTGAGGGGTTTTTTAAGCGCCACTCCATGCTATTTCATATTTAATCTCCCACTCTCCAGCTGGATTCTACATTCAGGTTTTTTGGCTTCTTATAAGTACTGCCTGTAGTAGCATTTTCTTTGGGAGAACAGGATGGAATTTTACCCTTTATTGCATATAGACAATGGGTGTCAGTGTGAACACAGAAGGATGATAAAAAGTTTTTAAGGCGCTCACATCTAGTAAATGTCCATTGACGTATATGGGCAATTCATTCCACAAGTAATATGATTTTTGGCTTGCATACAAACTACAGACATCTCTGCATTCAATTAGAGTTGTTTCAAGTTTTGGAGTCTTCTGCAAACTGAACAGTTTGACATTTTTTAAAAACGGAAACTTCAGAGTCGTCTTGTCTGCTTATGTCATCCTTAGATTCTTCCCACTAATTACTGATAGACTTCTCAATTTAAGTACTCAAATAGAGTTGAACAATATAAAAATGTTGATTTCCACCCCACCACCTGTAAAAATAATAGCAAAAGGTAGGGTCACCTGTCCATGAATCTCATCTTTGCAAACTTGATGGAAGTGATAGGATTGCTTTCCCAACAGCACCAGGAAATCCTCACCTAATGGATCCATTACATGGTTTATTTGACCAGTTAAAACGTAGTGGCTATAATTTAAACTGAGGAATCTAGTTGGCTGTGTATACGGCTTAACCATCTATTTGCTTCACAAAACTTCCTTGTTTTGAACACTGTCTTCTGTGGTGATTAGATATGCAGAGGGGGCCCTCTAGTGTCTCGATAAAATATGACTTCTGACAAGCACATTTCATCAATTCTGGAAATCAGAATGAAATACTTGGTGTCTGTAATAATGCCTTCACCACTGAGCTGAGGGACCTGAAACTTATCTACTCCCACTCCATGCCAGTGAAGAAGCTCTGTAGCTACTGCATCCCCCATAATGTAGTCATCCTGCTCATGGTTATATACCTGTAATAAAGGAGAATCCTCCACCATCTAAGGATAATTGCCCCACTGTCAAAACAGCTAGATCTGTCAGAAATTTCTTCTATAACTGACAACTAGCTTATCCTATAACTGCAATTCTTTGGTTCCTATCCTAATCTGTGGAGCAACAGAAAAAAATGCTTCATTGTCTAGGTGACAGCCCTTTGAGGAAGGTGATCATTTTACCTGTAATATTCTCTTACCTGTATTTGCTTGTAGTTATTCTGTTTCATTTGCTTGGTTACTATCCTGTATAGATGATTCCCAGCTTGGTGCCCTCCAGATAGACAGCAAGTTCTATCATTCCTGACCACTGGCTATGCCAGCTTGGACTAATGAGAGTTGATATGAAAATATCTGGAGCTTATGAGTTTGGAGAAGGTTGCTTCTATGCTCTCTGGACTCATAAGGTTTGAGAAAACATGCCTAGAATCATGCTATTAGGTGCCACTCCAATGGGCTTTAGAAGAAAAAAACTTTGATAAAGGCTGGGAGAGCTATGCAGCAGTCTTGCAAATAGGCTGCCACTAAGAAACCCCTCCTCATTGATGCTACCCTGCAGTCCTCCCTGAAGTTTACAGGGTGTTGTATCTGTCCTGTCTGCCTGCTTTGAGTAGTAAAAGCGTTGTATTTCATGAAACCATTGTGATGTAGTGGCTAGAGCGTTGAACTAGGACTCAGGATATCTAGATTCTAGTTCTCACTCACCATGAAGATCACTGGGCAACTTTGGGCCAGTAATTTATTCTCAGCCTAACCTAGCTCACAGGGTGAATATGTTGCTGTGAATATGAAAATGGAGTGGAGCCAGACTATGTAATCTGCCTTGGATTTCTCATAAGTAAAAAACATATAACAGAAATGTAATAGTAAATAGATACCAAATGGATATCAGTTTATATGGATTTGTCTTTGCAATTTTTTTAGTGTGCATTTATAGCATTCACTAGGCTGCTGTGAATTAGGAGGGGAGAAAGAATAAGTCTGTCAGATCTTGTATCAGTAAAATAAATTGATTCAATTCATGTTATTTAGTATTTCATTCATTCAGAGAGTAAAGGCCCTTTAAGTTTTGAATGCTCCTAGAGGATAATATAGTGCTGTAAACAGATGATACAGTTTTAAGGGGGGATAAGAACTCAAGTTGTATTCTTAATATTTCCTTGCAGCTCATTCAGGATTTTATGTATTGCCTTTGAAGTTTTGCAAGGCTTGGCATATATGAACAAGCATGGAATAGTCCACCGGGCTCTCTCACCTCACAACATCCTCATGGATCAAGAAGTAAGGTTGCAGGAACATATGTTTAGATTCTCAGTCCACACACATTTTTTCTCTAAATAATAATTCCCTTTGAATTAATTTGTGGTAAATCTTTCTTATATGTGAAGCATTGTACTAATACTACAAAATGGATAAAATTACAATTTGTTGCATTCACATTTTTCCTAAACTTTGCCAAAGTTTGTATGATGCTATTTTCCATGAGTAAAAAAAAAGCTTGTCTGCCACTACCTGTATTGAAGAATGCCAACAACATAAGCCCCATTCCCAAAACATTGGTATGTGACAATAGTGGCCATAATTGGTGGTCACAGGACAGTAGAAATTGCTTCTAACAGATGTTGGCCATAAACAATTGGGACCTGTTAATGTGGTTGGCTTTTGATTTTGTTTCACATGTAATCTACAGGGTAGAAAATGTCATTCTCTAACTAATGGGTTCTTTTTTCTCTTTTTAACAGGGGCATATTAAATTGGCTAAGTTTGGCCTTTACTACATGACAGCTTATGGTGCTGATGTTGATTTTCCTATAGGGTAAGTTATATGTTATAAAATGCTAGTTATCCTATACTTTGTAAACTTTCAAAGAATAATTCCTTGTATCTGGCAGAAATTAATTCTCAAGATTTTTTTCAATATTCAAGAAGTGTCAGCTGTTTTGTTTCAGAGCTGCCTGATTGCCATGGGAAACCTAAAGCCTGACATTTAATAAATAGCATTAAAATAGTGATACGTTGGATTCAGCAATGTAATTGTACCAGTGAAACATACACTGCTGACAAAATAGAAATCCCCTACCCTCTGCCACAACCTATCCTATAGTGTTGAACAAGAAAATGAAAAGGCAATTTCCACAATAAAAACTAACACAAATTATAAAAAGTAGTCTCTTTTTTTGTCTTTTCAAATAGAGCCAGTGTGGTGTAGTGGTTAAGAGCATGGCCTGGGACTCAGGCGATCTGGGTTCGAGTCTCCGCTCAGCCATGGAGCCAACTGGGTGACTTTGGGCCAGTCACAGACTCTCAGCCCAACCTACCTCACAGGGTTGTTGTTGTGGGGATAAGATGGAGGAGGAGAATGATGTCACCTGCCTTGAGCCCTTTGTAGGAAAAAGGCAGGATATAAATCGAAAAATAAAAAAATAATAAATAAGCTCTTTTCAAGCTAGCATGGATCTCTCCCCACCCCCATGTGTGTGTGTGTTATGTAAAAGTAGTGGTATTTCACCCCAACAGGATATCTCCAAATTATTTTCTCTAAAAGATGATACATGGTTTCATGAGATTGCTTTTCAGTGTATCCTACATGTCTCTTGAAATATGTTACTGCTTTAATTAAATTGTTATAGGTACCCATCATACCTGGCACCAGAAGTAATTGCACAGGGAATTATCAAATGTGGTGATCATATGCAAAGTGAAAAGCCACTCCCTTCAGGCCCTAAATCAGATGTGTGGTCCCTTGGTATCATATTGTTTGAGCTTTGTGTGGTATGTAACTTACATGGTTTATGTACTTGGATTATTGGATTTTTCTTTTCACTCCATATGTCTCCAAGTCATCTTCTTAAGAGACTCTGGCTATAGGGATTGGGCGCACTGCAGAGCAGCCTCAGAAGGCTATGGGAATAGCTTCTGATTCAGAAGAGTGGGGAGTAGAGACTGAAGAACCAAGGAAAAAAGAAATAGAGATCAAGGAAGGGGGAGGAGAGGGTCAAGCTGACCTTGAAAGCATGGGAAGCCTCTGAAGAGGAGGACATGGGCATGGCAGATCCAAGCGTAAGATGTCAGTTAAGGAGGGAAGACCACCAAGGAGGAATGAGATGTTCCAAGCGGTTGGTTCTGAGTGGGTGGTTTGATTTTGGGGATTGCAGTTACTGGGAAAAGAGATTGTTAGCTAATTCTGAATAGTCTGAAATCAACTTTCAGTGAAGTTATATTGCATTAAATGAGATGATACTGTAGAAAGCTAGCATAGCTTTTTTTCTTTTTCTTTTATTATATTTGCTTGCTTGTAGTTTGCCATAACAGAGCCTGTTGATTAGAGCAAGATTCCTGTGCTTAGCTCCAAAGTAGGGAGGTTACCATGACAATGACGGCAAATTTCAGTTAGTAATCACATTAATCTTATTACAGAGGCATGCGGGGGCTAAAAGATAAAATACTATAATGTAAACAGGAAAGATTTTGGAGAAAGACAGTGTTGAATGGATCTTCGTCTCTTGAGAAGTAGAATTATGACTATTGGTTGCCTCTGACTATATAGTAGCAATTACCTTCAAAAGGTTTACCTTTGGCTTCAGGATGATGCCCTTGATGAAGCTGAAGCTTATTTGCTTTTTCATTGCTCCAAATGCAGCAATCCTAGCAGTTAACTTGACCACTATTGGAGAAAACAAACTATTTTAAATATCATCTGCTATCATGCAAATTTTTATTTTTTTACATCACTTCAACTGTTGACACTTTAACCACTTCTTTCAAGGTCAGATGTTGATGAATATTCTACCTAGTGACTTGGAAGCAGGCACAGCAGTTTTAAATTGACATATATATGTTACTTAGGTCAGCAGAAGTGATGATGTAAAACAAAACAATTCCCAGGGATTTCCCTGTTGGTACAAGATTTAAGAGCATGCAATAGCCACACATTTCATAAAGATTCTTCATTAATCACATTCCTTTCTGTTCCTTTAGGGCAGAAAACTGTTCCAGAGTTTGGATATAGCTGAAAGACTAAAACTTATACTTAATCTTGGTGAGTAATGTAAATATAATTGTGGCACATGAAGACTTAATATAATCCCAGATGAAGCCAAGGTCATAATACTGATTGGGGGTTGCATTGTTTTTGTGCATGTGAAGGTTGGAAAGTTAAAGCTACTTTAAACCAGTGCTATCTGAAACTGCAGAGCAGCATAGGTAATTACAGTACTGCATGTGAATGCTGAAACTAGAAGAGGATTTTAATAGTTGCTTATCATGCTGTCTTGTTTACCTCCTGGCCCTCCTGGTCTCCCAGTCTGGTCCTCTGGGGTTCCATGCATGGCCACATCTTCTCCTGGCCTCACCACTTTGTCCTCTCTGCAAATCATTTGGTAGTTTTCTGGCTTTCACCCATTTTGATCCCATTCAGAAAGATTGAAATGCCTCTCCCAAGTCTTAGTTACGGGCACTAAGAGCCTTATTCTAAATCATGCAGACATGTTTGGCCTTGATCCTTTTGCCTTTGGTTCAGCCAACCCAAGAGTTTCTCCAAAATGTAACACTCAGGCTGAAAGAAATTAATCATCCCTGTTTTAAAGGCACCAAACAAATGTCAAGTCTGACCATGATACTTGTCTCCACTGTGTATCTTTTTTTAAATAAGGAAGTTGGTGAGCTCGTGGAAGCAACAGAGACTTGTGCACATCTGGAGCAGAGCAGCTTGGGTCCCTTGGTCTAGATGTCCCCCCAACCCCCCAGAGCAGATTTTCAGGGGCAAACCTCGCTGCAGGCAAAAATGAGAAGGAATCAGTAAAAATCGTCTTCTGCCCACAGGATCATCCAATTTGTGGAGTTCCATTCTGCACAGCTCTGGATCTATCTAAACCCCTGTTCTTGACCATATGAAAATGTCACACTATTTTTTGTGTATAGAGTCTGGTGGCAAATTTCACTAAGAAAGTGAAAGATGTCTGATTTCTTTTTGACAACATTTGTTCTCCCTACCTTAACAGGATGTGTGGATGATATCATAACCGTACTAGCTGAGGAACATGGTTGTCTGGATATTATCAAGGTCAGTGCATTTATATTTCCCCATATTATATAAATGTTCTAGAATGCAGTGGGCCCAATTTAGGCATTTGCAATGGGTCTGATGGAAGTGGATTCTTCATTTCCTAGTGCAACCTTTCCAGATCCCTCCCCTGAATGCTACACAGAGGGGCAGGTGACTCTGCTGAACTGGTTGGCTGAGGGGAAAGGAAAAAGATGGAAGCACCTGCTGTTCTACCCACACAATATGCCTCTGCCTCCCTCTGAGCACAGGTTGATGCTGGTGGTCACTAATTTTAATTATATACTGCCTAATAGCTGAGGTTTTCTGAGTGGTTTACAACTGTATATAAAAAAAATACAATAAAATGCCACAAAGTTGTCCTACATTTTATGTTGCAGTTTTGGGTGGCTGAAGGAATTGCTGTGGGGTTAGAGAGCATGGGAATGTCCCAACCCCCCCCCCCCACCCCTGTTGCATGTTTTTAGGCTTAATATTGCAGGCTCAGTTTATCTGGGACTGCCCAACCCAGAACAGGAATTAATTAAATTCTAGTGGATTTTCAAAGCAGGGCCTGAACAGAAGGCCTTTCTTTCCAATAAGTGTTGAACTGATGTATTGCAATGAGTCTGGCAAACAGTCTGCAAAAACATGTAGCAACACTTTGTTGATGAAGATACTGATGACTGCAAGCATTTAGGTTGATGTTCTTTGAAGTCATTCTATTAATGACTATTCATCACTGTTTGACAAATGAAATGCCTCCTTCTTCTTTGCCAGAACTGGCATGTAAGAAAAATCCTTTGCAGTATGTAACAAATTTTATCCATGCCCAAAAAACATGCCTTCTCTGTTTTAGTTGCCTGGAATTCAAACAGAAACAAAGTTCTTTGCTTCACTTTTACTCAAAATGCTCGTTCCTTACATGCTGTACTCAGTCTATTATATATGAAAACACTGACTATGTTACTTATATTTTTATGTACTAGGAAGTTTCTGAAAACACTTTAGCTTTACTGAAAAAGTGTCTTACATTCCAGCCTTCCAAGCGGTGAGTGTACACTGACGATACAATGAGCAAGTATGTTTGGCAAAGGAAATATAATTGTTAAGCTACAGTGGTACATTCCTGTTTCCCTGGAAAAAAAGACAGCCGGGTGTGTTGATCTGATCTCTGCTAGCTGTTCATCTATGAGTTATACACACATCTATTAACAGACCACAGCTCAATTATGTATATGTACAGATGTATGATCCTCTTTAGTGTTGAATGCTAGCACATCTGTCAGGCATGCATTTAGCCCCTACTTAGGGCATTTTCCGATTTACACAGAGATCAATCCAGGCCTGCCACAAGTGTGCCCCAGATTGCTGGCAAGCTTATTTATATGATATGTACATGCCATCACTCTTTGTATGTATAGAAGTAATCTATCTCGAGAGGGCCCAGCTCTCACATGTTACAATCTGCTCATAGATTCATCACATTGTGAGGAGGAGGCAGATGACTTTGCAGGTTCAGAGTTACTTAATGATGATGCTCAGACAGAGCATGAGAAAAGGAGTGGGGGGACTTTTCAGAACTGGTGAGGGAACAAATTGAAAGAGAGTTCCTTGATCCAGTCAGGAAACCACAGGCGAAATAAGCAGGCCAATTAAGAAATATCTGGCATTCCCACGGTCAAGTGAGACTGCATCTCATCTGATTTGCCCACAGTTGCTAGGGTCCAATTGCCAAGTTATCAGTTGAAAAACACCACTAAAGAGTGAATAGTTATCAAACGAAAATGTAAAATGTCTTCCCCTGAACTGGAAGAATGAGTTTATGTAGGCAAAGTTTACAGTGCTGAAATACAAATGCAGGGCTTATAAAATGTACCAGAACGGTGTTCCGGCACCTTTTTTGACGGATTTTTCCAAGTGATTGTGAATCGCCCTGTTGGGCGTAGCAGATCAGCGGCAGAAATTATTAACATAGTGCCTGCGGGCTGTCTGTGTGTCTGCGCTGATTGTGAGGGCTCTGCTCAGCTTGGGATAGGTTGTGTGGTCACGTGCTGACTCAGCCAGCGGCGAGCATTGTGTAAAAGTGTGACCCCAAGACGTGAGTTCCGGCACCTTTTTTTTTTTTTTTTTTTACAAAAAAAGCACTGCACAAATGTGTATCTATATTTTATATTTGGATTTTTAAAAAATAGATTTTCAGCTGTTCGTTTTGAAGAGATGTGAAAATGTTTTTCTCCTCCTGCTTTTTTTACTCAAGGCCTACTCCTGACAAGTTACTGAATGACCCAGTCTTCAGTGAAATCTCATCTTTGTACCCAACCTTCCACAAACCAGTTGGCCTTTTCTCTCCCACTCTAAGATGTGCTAACTTAACGCTTCCTGAAGATATTAGTCAGCTGCTTAAAGGTAACTGGAGGAGCAACTATCTATTTGTGCATGCATACACAAACACATTCAATTTGTGGTGGTTTTCTGATTGTTGAAAATGATCATATGTCTGGTTACTAGGGGAAGGGTTGGAAGAGAAGTTAAGACTTGGAAGGAAAGTTATGTGGTATTTATAATGGGTCAAATTCAGCCCTGGCAGTAAAAGAAATTTCCTGTCCTCACGAAGGGTTGGGATACTTTCAAACAGCTTTGTGGGAAATGTGTAAGGAAGAAGACAATCTGAAGTCCCATTGCTCATGCTGAGGTCTTTTCACACATCCTTATATTCAGGCTTATTTTGCTTCAGGTATACGAATCCAAACCACAACTGGATCCCCCCAGATGTTTTAGACTACAAATTTCCATCTCTCATGACCACTGGCCACTCTGGCTGGGGCAGTTGCATTCCAAAGCATCTGGAGAGATCTAGACTGAGTACAGCTGAGAAATCTGTAAGAGAAGGCAGTCTTAGGATCCCCCATGTTGCAGGTGGGCTGGGGATGCTGAAGGAGAAAGAGCATTGTTTGCCCAAAGCCTCAGAGCAATGAGTGAATGACAGCTGCCTTCTTTGAGACAGAGGTCACTCTTATTTTGAGAACAACCTCTTGGGTGTGTTAAAAGTGCAAGCAGTAAACCTGCTGGCTGTGCGGGTCAGCAGGCATTTGGGAAGGCTCCCTGCTACAAGGAGGCCCAGACATGTGGTAGCTCTTGCTGTGTAGCCAGGAGTGGCATCCCCTTGCTGCAGAGACTGGCATCTGCTAGCTGATACCCTCCAAATCCTCTGGGAATGCAACTCTCCTCATTGCTGGGAGCTGCAGGCCAAAGACTAGACCCCCTTCTGTGAGCCTTTTGGGCTGTCCTGTCGTATTTGGGTATAGAGCCTACATGGGACTGTGTGGCTGTGTTTCTTGAACTGTACCGATCGGTAACTGGGCTTTATCTGGGGGGATTATAACTATACGTTACTGATATTATGCATTGTATTATGTGTTATATTGTAATATGTATTGCATGACATATTATATAATTGTGCTAAGGTTTGTTTTGATATTGTATTGCTTAATTGTATTTGTTTGGAATATGGTTTGGATTTTAGTTATTGTTTTGTTTTATTGTAAGCCGCCCAGAGAGTCTGATGGGCTATGAGGTGGCATACCAATGTAATAAAGGAAATGAAATGAAATGCTCCAGCCATTTCAAGACACTGTATGTGAAAATAGTCCCTCTTTACTCATATAGGAGCCCTGTGAGGCAGTTCAGTCCAGACAAAGAATTTGTCGAGTTCATCGTGCAATATATTACCAGGAAAAGCAGATCCTCTAGTCCCCAGACAAGATCCTGGGAGCCATGGCAGTCTTCAGTTTCCCAGGACCCTGTGCTCCGAGCTGGGTGTCCATGGTCAGATCTCCTCCCCTGGACCTTGCAGCCTCTCCAAGGTCACGCTTATGATCTTGGAGAAGGGGTAAAGGAGGTGATGATGGGAGAAGAAATGGCAGGAGAGCAAGGCTGTCGGAGTATCCTGCTGACACCGTAGCCCCTTCAGCTCTCTAGCAGGCATGCAGGGCAGGAGGAGCAGGCAGCAAAGACTGCCAATGCACTCTTACCACTTCACACAGGCCTAACCCTCTGAGATCAGAAGCTTACAGCCATAATATTGTAGCTACAGTGTTCTCAAATTTTGGGAAAGTGTCATGATATCCATTTGAAATTGACTCTCTCTAAAAAGATTTCCTTTTTGAATCCTGATAAGTGTGGTTGGCAGCGTTCTTTGGACTATTCTCATGTACTCACATAACCATTCTGCCTACTGGTGTGCTGATGAAGAGCCTCAGCTGTAGATCTTAATAAAAAGGCCTAAATCTGTACCATGTCATTATTTCAGAGTGAGGCAGAGAGTTCAGCTGATTATTTTGAAATTAGTACTTTATTAGAAGGCTCATTTTAATTTATTTACTGAATTCCTGAATCACCAATTAGCCAAGATGGCTTTCCAGGTGGCTTACAAAGTAAAATATCAAAATATACAGTAAACAGTAATGTTAAATCTACATACACACTAAACAGTAAAATAACAGCTACATGCAATGAAAACCTCAGAATAAGGAAGCACAGCAGTCAGCATTAATTCAGAGCTACAGAAGCACTAAAATACAGCAGAAATTCAAAGGATCAGAAATGAGGCATTTGTTATTAAGCTGATTGGAGTTGGTGCGAGACTGTTTGGCTATCACAGAAAGCCAAAAGGAGCCATAGATCCATAGAGCCACAGGTTCAGTTCCTGACATGTCCAAGTAAAAGAATTGCAGGTATCTGGCCTAGGGAGAGCCTTTGCTTGGGTCTCCCCCTACCAGTTTGCTTCCCAGAATTTCCCCCTAACCTTGAAACTGTACGGTTCTTAATGCTCACTAGCTTATCTGTGGGTTCATTAGCCTTGGCATTTCAGCTGTCAATTCCAGTATTTAAAATGCAGCATCAGGTTTATTAGAAAAGCTGAAAGATTAAAATATCTGAGAATCTGAGAATTAAAATATCTGAGAAATATCTGATATCTGATTAAAATATCTGAGAAGATAAAAGGGTCTTCACCTGGAACCAAAAAGAGTACAATATAGGCACCAGGCAAGACTTTGGAAAGTTCATTCCATAACCAAGGTGCTACAACAGAAAAGGATCTCTTCTTACTAGCCACCCACTTCACTACTTTGGCAGTGAAGGACCTTTGAAGAGGATCTGGGCAGATGTATGCTCTTTCAGGTAACCTGTTCCCAGCTCCCATCATCCATGAACATTGGCCATGTTGGCTGATGAGAGAGGCAATCCAAATATCTGGTGGGTACTGCATTAGGACTGCCTTAAGCTAGAAATTGGTAGATATTAAAAATGGAACAAGCATAGTTATTTTGGAGGCAGTCTGTACATATGGTACATTCTGTTCTGTACTGCTACTGCATCCCATTAAATGGAAGATGAGAACATATTTTACATAATGAATAAAGCATTTAATGTTTCCCTTGTGTATTTACTGCATTTCCCCTTTTTTGCTATCAAATCAAGATGGAAACATTCTGTCTCTGTTTTTCCTCCTCATTCCAGAACAACCCCATAGTTTGTCCAGCTGCCTTCATCTTCCCAGGGATTTTTCTTCTAGTGCTTCCAAAGGGAAGATCATTTATCTTTAATAACATGGTGGGAGGGATTGTTCCTCTTCTCTTTCTAGCACATATATACAAAATGTTGGGGAAAATCTTAAAGGTTTCTGGAAAGTTCATAATATTGTCTTTTTTGGCTTCTGTTAATAGAGGAAAACTCTGATTACCTCGCAGAAAGGTCGATTGAAGAAGTTTATTATCTCTGGTGCTTGGCTGGGGGAGACTTGGAGAAAGAACTTGTCAACAAGGAAATCATTCATTCAAAACCACCTATCTGCACTCTTCCTGTGTAAGAAATATGGGAAAGAATAACTCTGTTTTGGGGAATAGAATCATGAAGAAAACAGTTAAATGCTAAGATGAAGTGAAACTTGTTCTTAAAGAGGAAAATGCTCAGCCTGAAAAACAGCTGCATTGTTGAGCCTGTGCAGTCAATACTATGCTTAGTTCTTGTTTGAAATTGCAAAATCTTAATCTGCTAGTATGAACATAACATCCATCAGGAAATGTGTGTGTCCTCAAAGATGAGCATCTAATGACTTATGTAAGTAAATGTATTTCATAGTTACGTCTTGATTCTTTGCAACAGCCTTTCCCTACCCTGATGTCCCCCAGAAGTTTTGTTCTTAACTCTTATTAGTCCACATCATCAGTCGTCAGGAATGATGGGAATTATAGTGTAAAAACATCTGGAGGGTACCAGATTAGGAAATGAACCTCAGCAAGGAAGGAAACAGACATTGTAAGGAAGGAACCAGTAGATTTTCAGATGAGAGAAAAATTGGACCCATTTGAGATTAAGACCCGGTGAGTTAGTCCATATTATGTATGCATATAATTAGGATTCATTGAGTTTGAGGATTTGCTAAACTGTGATACTCCCACTATGCCAGTTTCTTCTTTTCCAAGCAGTTTCTTGCAACTCTAAAGACAGCCTACCAAAACATTTTGAAAATGACAACAAAGTAGGGTTTTTTCAGAAAAGGACGGATTGATTCAAATGTGTTTCTTTTATTTACCCTATTTATATTCAGTTTCCTGTATCCAAAAGCTTTCAGAACAGCTTGCAACTAAGTATTCTTCCAAGTGTGGGGGTGGGAGGAGATCAAAGCCGACCAAAACTGCTACATCTTTAAAAATCTAATAAAAATACAGTTACAGAGTGATCCAGTGGCCCATAAACATTGTCTGAGAAGTTGTAAGATGTGTCAGGCTCTCATATATAAGGTCAAGACTGTAGTTCAACCTTGGACTTAGGGATTGGAGTTCAGACTCCTACCCTCTGACAGCGGGCACTGAACATTACAGAACCTGGAGGAAAAAATTGAAAAGGCAACACCTGCTTCTCAATCGGATGGCTAGTGCCTCCAACACATTCATGTTTAAGAGGCCTTTTATTTCATTCAAAGGCTTTATCATAGATTTGTTTTGCTGCCTGTTTGTGCCTGACAACATTTTTTATTTGCAAAAAGTCTTTCCCTTCAGAATTTAGTTTTGCATTCCCAACTCAGCTCAAATAAACTGCTGAACAACTTCATAAAGACAGGATCAATTCCCTAAATGTGGAGTTCAGAAAAGTGCAGTCAAGTACCAGCAGAAACTAAATAGGAGCATCCCCATTCAAAATCCGTAATGGAGTGAGGTTTTCTGTCCCATTAAACCTTAAAATTTCACATAATCCAGCCAGATATAGCAGTGTTTAGGGTTCCCCCCCCCTTTATTCAGTATTGTTCAGCCCAACCATTGCCTACACAAAGACGAAGTGTTGACTTCTTTAATTTGCATTGTTTTTATTCTTTTTAGTTTTGTATTTGAGGATGGAGAATGCTTTGGACAAGGACGAGATAGAAGCTTCCTTTTGGATGATACAACTGTGATACTTTCACTTTGCCAGCTCAGAAATGTAAGGAAAAAAGTGTTCTCTCATGCTGAAGTATTTATAATCTATACATTTTCAGATAGAAAATGCAGATACTATACAAGTTTGCAATATTGTATAGTCTATACAAGAAGAATGTCAGGTTGGTTATTAAGGTTCAACAGCAATTATAATGTTTCTTTATAACATGTTACAAAAGCCAGGATAGTTTCTTGAGGGCATGTTGAGGCCTTCCGGTTGCTAGGAAGAGTACCAGAGAGAACTGCTTTGAAGATGCTTTCCTCAGTCATTCTTTAAGTGCTGCTTTTGCTGTGGAAACGGAACTGCTTTCCTTACTTAAACAGCTTTGCCCTGGAAGAAGGCAAACTCTGGAAGGGGGTTAAAGCCTCTGAAATAATGACAGAGATGGATTTTATAAATTCCATGGCAAGAGGCATTTTGTTCTTGGCCATGAGAGAGGAATTGGCATGTTGTTCACCTGGACAACTTTGGAGATCAATGGAGCATCCTCTGACCTATTCAGAAAACTAGCATGGGCACAAAGAAGGGGCCTATATGCTTTCTTTTGGTTGCTTATATCCTGCATCCAAATTTCAGCATAGTATTCAGTAAACTGTGTATAATTTTGACACAAGTGGATTTGTTTCATCCTAAGTATCCTCAAACCTAGAGTATTTTGGCTGGGCCAGGCCCATGCGGACAAATCTTACCTTTTCAAATGCAACAGTAGTTCCTATCTTTCTTTCCACCCACACCTTCTCCCACTAGTTTTAATTTATACACAGTTAAGAAATAACACTGGTACTTCTGTTTGAATGGAATAACAAAAAGGGTATCTTGTCATAGCTCTTTAAAGTAATAGTGCATTCAAACCGCAAAGTTTCCCTTATTTGGTGATTCTTATTTGATGAACTATATACTTGCCATGTTTGGGATTTGGGGATGGAACTTGTAATAAAAGTTTGACATTTGTGGTGCTCTTAATCAGTGCAAGCTGGAAAAACTGAAACAACTTGGAAGCTGCTTTAAACAAAAGTTGGTGTGCTATTTTTTTTGTTTGACATGTTCATTAAGAAAACATTGGGTATGATCTGGCAAACATTTAGAAATGTTGAGCCCCCTAGAAAGCAGTGGAATGCAGTTAAAAATCAGGGTTCTTAATCACATGAGAGAGCTAATATCAAGAAGCTGACCACTGTAGATATTTCAAGAAGTGGGTCAAACCTTGTCCCGCCCACCACACACACACACACCATACATGGTGTTCATTCTAATCTGAAGCTGCATGACTGAATAAACTTCAATCTTTCAACAATTATTTGTTGTTTTGGTTGCTTTGGAATTTGTTGTAACCCCTCCTTCTGCTCCTCGCTCCTGATGTTTCAGTTCATGTTTATATTCCACCCAGTAGTGAAAGCACCCTGGGTGGTTCACAAAAATACAAAGCCTAAATACAAAATAATAACAGCAAGTTGAGATATAACAAGTGCCTATATATAATTTGAACAACAGCAAAATAACTATTTTATTAATACAACTACCCATAAGCATTTATTAATAATATTTGCAAATGTTTATATAGTAAAGTAGTTTACAGATGAACACATTGAACTCACAGTTTAGGATACAGTTACAGCAACAATAGCAACCCTAAATAAAGGGAAAAACAGTAAAATGGAGTAGCAGCATGAGCTGTTACCAGGCAGAAAGAGATTACACATATATAGTTTGAAAAGACTTGAGGCAGTTTATTTAGTATATGAATACCCTTGGCAGACATTTTGTCTGAGTGTTTCACTGGTAAATAAATACTTGAACAAATAAAAGTCCTCCCCTGATTATGCTGCTCAGTTTTTGAACAATCAAACTGAAATATGCTAAATACAGAGATCTTTCTCTTTTGAGAAAATCTGGTCTGAATCTCACTAATCTCCTTGCCAAACTTAGCAGCATTAGCTGAAAGATTTTCTTTAGCAATCAGAATACTTCAAGCGCCACTCCGGGAACAGACTGTAATCAAAAGAGGATCAGTGCTGTATGAAGTAAAGGGCTTTAAACTGCACTGCAAATCCCTGGAGAAGATAGCCTTGCACCTTTGGAGTAAGATCTGAATTGTATGAGAGCGTTGCCAAAAAGGTGGTATTAAAGTTAAGCATACTGCACTTTAGTCTACAGTTAGCAGCTGGTTTTTGGAGCTGTAGTCAGCAGAGCACTAAAAGGACCCCCTTCACATCAGTGGCATCTGTCATTTCTCTCTTCCTATTGATTCCAAAGTACAATTGTCTTAGCATATATCTAATAATGGACCATAAGGAAGGCTGAGTGCCGAAGAATTGAGACCTTTGAATTGCGGTGCTAGAGAAGACTGCTGCGAGTCCCTTGGACTGCAAGGCGATCAAACCGGTCAGTCCTAGAGGAGATCCACCCTGACTGCTCTTCAGAAGGCCAGATTCTGAAGATGAAACTCAAATACTTTGGCCACCTAATGAGAAGGAAGGAGAGAAGACCCTAATGCTGGGAACAATTGATGGCAAAAGAAAAAGGGAATGGCAGAGAATGAGGTGGCTAGATGGAGTCACTGAAGCAGTTGGTGTGAGCTTAAGTGGACTCCAGGGGATGGTGGAAGACAGGAATGCCTGGAGGAATGTTGTCCTTGGGGTCGCGGTGGGTCGGACACAACTTTGCGACTAACAACAATAACAACAATAATATTAAAATCAAATAACTTTTTCACTTGGCTATAATGATGTATTATGTGTTATCATTCCACTGAATTATGTTCTCTATTCAATGGGAAATCACCATTGGAGGAAGGAATCCCTAGACTGCAAAGGGACATGTCTCAGAAATGAAATTCAAATCTCTGAGTGATCACTTTTGCCCAGTATATTGCATCATGATCTATGTTGCCAGAATATTTGGATCTACAAGCAAGTGTTGATATATTTATAGGTGCAGGGAAGAAGTGACCATCCAATTCTTTAATAGTTTTTTTGTCATCATAAAGGCTAAATACCTTGAAGCACCAGTGCTGAGAAGCCAGGCAGAAAAGAGTGTGTTCAAGTTGGATTGCTTGATGGAAAGCAAAAGTATTAAATATTATTCTGATATTGCTAAGGCCACTCGGAGCATCCCATACATATATATTATTCTGATATTGCCCTGCCTCTTGGAATACCCTGTACACCTCTTTTCCAAGAATGCTGTTATGATTCTGGAGAAGGAGCCAACACAGTTAATTCCATAACAGTTTCAATGGAGGGAGGATCTCCATTGAATCTCTAGATCTGAATCTGAGGCTCTTGTCCAATCTCAGATCTGGGAAAAAGAATCCTATGGCCCTCTGGATGCCATAGGATTGCTTTGTAGACTACATAATAATTGCTGTGGCATTTATATAATATTGGTAGAAACATGAAAAAATAAACCAAGAATACAATATAATTACAAATAAACTGGGCAGCACACTCATATAAGGAAAGTTTGGATAAATAGGTCTTTAGTTCTTCCCTAAAGTATGCTACAGTTTGGTGTCTTCTGGATACTTGGTGGACATAGGGGATGAGATTTTATCTGGCAGAAAAATGTTTCTACATCCCTGAAATGCAAAGAGAATTGAAAAAAAAACCCAATACACTTTTAATATTAAGGATGACATTCTGTGAACTTTAGGACTGGTGCAAATCTCACAGTATCTGTCAAGGGATTTAAAGAGAGGTGTAGAATAGCATGTACCTTCTTGTGGGGCAGTCTTTACCCCCTGCCCAGGCCCGGATGTGTTCCTGACACATCATTTGAAGCTCAGCAGGTTCCTGGTTTCAAATGCTACCATGGGGACGCAGCTGAGTAAGGAAGAGCCATGATAAAAGTCTGTACAGACACAACAGTGAATTCACCTGGACAAGGGTCCATAGTAACCAGTGTCCTATCTTGTCCAGCATTCTGTGTCCCTTATTGTCTGCCCAGATGTATCTTGGAATAGCAGGTCATGAGAGCAAAAGCTGCTATTCTGCCTCTGATCCTGGAACAGCATATATTGATGCCATATTAGCTATGGATAGCCTTGTCCACCATGGGTTTCTCTCATCTCCACTGAATCCCCAAGCTCAATCCCTGCCTGTGGCCCTTTGATGTTCTTTGGAGGAAATATTTGGTTAGATTGTTTTGTCCTTTTGAATGGCTGGATGAGTAAGTTTCATGTCATGAAGACTCAAAAAGCTGTTCTTTTGAAACCATCTACATGGTGATCATGGAGTAGCAGATAGCCATTTTATCATGTCAGCTATTTCCTTACTAGTCATTTTAAATAATGTAGAGCGTCAATTTAATCCTGAATATTTTTGTAATCTACCGCAGAGGTTAAAAGATGTTGGTGGAGAAGCGTATTATCCATTGCTTGAAGATGAGTAAGTATATGGATATATTTTTTAAGAGGTTGGGAATGCATGATAGCTCTCCCTGTTTCTCAGTAAATCACATGGCTCACCATTGGCCTTACTTGATTTGCAAGTAATAAATGATTACTTTAAAGCAGTTGCTATGTCAATGAGATTTATAAAATGCTTATGGTTTAGATCCAGAGTTAGTCATGCTAAAGTAGGTCCATTGCAATCAGTAGGAAGTTAGTCAAGGTTAGTTTCAATTCCATTGATGGTAATGCATCTACTCTGAATATGAATAAGGCTGGATTCAGCCTTCTTCCATGGAATACAGTCAGTCCTGTGAAGCAATTAAAAGGGGGTGGGGTAAAATTCATTTAACTATTTTTCACTCTGAGTCTCTAGTTTGAATAAAGTTGAACTTCAGCTTTACTGAAAGTATCCATTGCTTCCCCTTGGGCAGCCCACAGTTTAACAAGATAGCAGTTGAGTGTCCAGGTATAATGCTAATAATTAGTAATAATGACATAATTATGCTAATTTATACTTATACATAGTCTCATTTTTATATCATATTTATTAAGATATTTATTATTATAGGATAATACAATTCATCTGTTCTCTGGGCAAATAATACTTTAGGTCAAAATGCTATGCAGTTTTAGAAAGATAAAAAGGTCTGCATGCTATGTTGGCTGGGACATGCTTGAAGGTGTAGGCTTTTCTACTGTTTAAATTTGCATAGGATTCTGCTGTTGTTTTCTTACACAGAATTATTATATTCTTCCTTCTGTCTTAGCAGATTAGGATGAGCTGGCCCTTTGTTTGGAAAAAGAAAATGGGCTTTGCATTGTCTGTATGACGATGAAGATGATCTTAATAATTTTAGCACTTTGCAGTTTCATTTTATAATTTCTTCTCTTTGTAGCAGTAAATATTTTTCCACAACTATTGCCTCTCTTCTGTTTCAGCCAGTCAACTATACCCCATTCAAACAGCAATAATGAGTTATCTGTTGCTGCTAATCTTCCACTTATTATCCGAGAACGGGATACAGAATACCAGCTAAACAGAATTGTTCTGTTTGACAGACTGCTGAAGGTTTGTAGTTTTAATAAAGCTGGGTTTGTTTGGTTTTCCTTGGCATACAGTGTCTCGATTTGTAACTGTTAATTTTGGACTTGACAAATTCTGCCATGATATATCATGTAGGCCTTACTTGCTTTGCTTTAGTGAATTAGCTTTTTAAGTATTCAGTATTTTTTTAAAAAAATATATGTATATGTTTACCTAAATAATATTATGGAATGCCAAGATTCAAACAACAACGTAATATCGGATTGTTTTGAAATTGTAATTTCAATTGTGAAAATTGTCCCCAGGCTTATCCATACAAAAAAAATCAGATTTGGAAAGAAGCCAGAGTTGACATTCCTCCACTGATGAGAGGCTTAACATGGGCAGCCCTACTTGGAGTCGAGGTAAGAATAAGAGAGTACCCCCTTGCAAATATCAGAGAGCACTGATGAAAATTTATTGATGGTGTGTCATATTAAATGCAGTTGTACACCACCCAGAAAGCTCTAGCCTATAAAATAAGACACATTTTTGAACAAAGTGAAAGTGAAAAATGAAGTTGGCTGTACAATTAATTCGTAGCTGAGTTTCCAGGAAGTAGAGATGCTGTGTTCCCCTTTGCCCTCAAGACTCCCAGTAGGTGAATTGTGCTTCAGGATGATCATACTTCGATTAGTTACTCTGCTAAGCTATGGGCAGTATTTTTCCATTTTATCTCTTAATGCTACCTATTCTTTGTGGTGAATCTGAGACCTGGATGAATGAGTTTGCTGGCATCTGTAGTAGCAAAGCTTCAGTTGATTTATATTTCTATGATGTCACACTCATTTTAGGGTGACATTCAAGCAAAGTATGATGCTATTGACAAAGACACTCCAATTCCTACAGATAGGCAAGTAAGTTTTGTTTTTGTTTGTTGTTTGTTCGTTTTACTTTAAGTAAACACCTATGAAACTTAACAATTTCAAGTACTACTCAATGAAATAGCACTTCTGTTGCAGAAAACCCTAAGAGCAAAGGAAGCTCTTTAGCAACTGGTGTACCACCTCTGATAGGACATCACTAACAGGCTAGTAGTCCTTGATAGTCTTTTCCTCCATGAATTTGTCCAACCCCAATCCCACTTTAAAGTCATCCAAATTTGTGGCCATCATTGCTTCCTGTAAGAGTGAATCCCATGATTTAACTATGTAGTATGTGAAGAAGTCCTTCCTTTTATCTGCATTAATCTCCCACCAGTCAGCTTCATGATTACATTCTAGCAGTATTACTGAGGAAATAAAATGTCCCTTTCTCCACAACATGCAAACTATAAAACTCCTTTATTATTTCTCCCTTTGTTTTTTTTTCCTAAGCTAAAAGAATTATACATTTCTCTCTTGAACCATAATACTTCGCAAGAAAGTCATTTTAAGCAGCATTTTATTTATTTATTTATTTATTTTACTTATTTAAGACTTTTTAATACCATCCACTACCGAGCTCTGGGGCAGTTTGACAGTAGACAGAATAGAGCAAAATAAAACACAGCATCCTAATTAATTCCTAGCAATAAAACCCATATTAAACTGGCAATCATATCTTAAAATATTGGGAAAACAAAAAGGTTTTAGCCTGATGCTGAAAATATAAAGTGACAGTGCCAGGAAAACCTCTCTGGGGAGTGTATTTCATAACTGGGGCACCCTTCTCTGGGTAACCACCCTCCCAATCTCCTTCAAGGAGAGTTCCCAGAGAAGGACCTCCACCCCAGAAGTTAAGGGGCAGGTGGGCACATATAGAAGGAGACGCTCCTTCAGGTAACCAGGTCCTAAGCTGTTTAGGGCTTTATAGGTCATCACCAGCACTTTAAATTGGGCCCAGACTTCCTATCAATATTTGAAAGATGTGGAACTGATATTGAAAATAACAAAACCCAAAGTGAATCAGGATGTGAACTCAGGGTTTTCTGGTGGAACCACACTAATTGTTAAGTCCTGCATTTTGAGGAATAGCTATATGAATACTCCCCTTCTAGACTCTGCAAAAGTTGTCTGGATCCCCTCCAACTCTGGTAAAATGCCCCAAAGCAATGCTTCATGATACCATAGCATTATGACCACAGGTGTGGGAAGATGACGTGTCTTAAAAAAATCTATTTTGCTGTCTAGCAGTCACTTCTGCAATGGATATCTTAAGCGGAAGCACTCAGTCCATTGTCCATGGTAGTAAAATTAGAATTGTGGACTATATCAGGACAATCCCCAAGAATTTTCAGATGCCACGGGAAGACAGTTGGCCCAAACAATATCAAAATAGTCAATTGGATGGTGACATATAATCAACAGTTTAGTTGTTTTTAATGTGTTTTTGTACAAACCTTTCCATAATTTTGCCATCTGTTCTTGAACATCTATTACAAGGTGATGTACAAGGATCAACAGTTTGGAAATTGGTATGGGAAAACTAGAACAGATTAGCTTTCCAGTTTGAACTCTACATACCCTTTCTATTATGGTTATCCTTAACTTCCCTTCTGTTCTTGGTTGCATTGTAGATTGAAGTTGACATTCCTCGCTGTCATCAGTATGATGAGTTGCTGTCATCACCAGAGGGCCATGCAAAATTTAGACGGGTTTTGAAAGCATGGGTAGTTTCCCATCCTGATCTTGTATATTGGCAAGGTTGGTTCAACTGAATACTAGGACTTGTCATAAATTTACTCATTCTTAACCAACCAGAAACACATGATTTCTTTCTGTGTTGTAGAATAAAGGAATAACTATGTTCAATACAAGTAATGCAATAATATCTAATTCATTCTGCTGGCTTATTTTAAAATAATGTGTACATAGACACATTTGTTCAGTTTCTGTTGTTTTCATACTGTGTTTTAATAGGCCACTTAGGTTAAGTCAGCATAGTGACATGTTAACTGATGCAGAATTTTAAAAATAGTGGCACAACCCCATGCATGTTAGAAATTAGGTTTGCTGAACTCAGTAGGCCTTCTCAGGAGTGTAAGCAGGACTGTAGCCAAAGTTGTGACTTTTAGAGAAAACTACACCTACAGCTCTTTCTAACATGGTTGACATTACAGAATTGAATCACACACACACACACACACACACACACACACACAGACCCCTACCTCTTTAAAATGCTACATTAGGACTGCTTCACGTCTGAGAAAAGCATCTGTTGCAAGTAATACAAGAGGAACGCTTCTGAGTGATGTAATAAAAATATTTATCTGAATCCTGTTTGATTCTAAAACCTGATAATTCTCTTCAATGCTAGTGGTATATTGATTTGTTTTCTTCTGCAGGTCTTGATTCCCTCTGTGCACCATTCTTATACTTAAATTTCAACAATGAAGGTAAGCTTTTTCCCCTCACTATGTTTTGAAAGGCTGGATAGACTTCCAGCCTACTTGGTGGCATCATCATCATCTAGTTCATATGAGCACAGAGATCAGATAACCTTTTGCTAATATCTCCTTTTTCTGTTCATCTGATTCAGACTTTGTTGTGGAACGTGGGTGCGTGGGGAGCTGTTTGTATGAACAGAGATGGTTGTTGAAAGTAGTTAATGGTGGGCATCAGTTTGTCATGCATCCCTGATAAGTTTTCTGAAGCTCTATCTTTTATTGGGTAGTCAATTTTTGCAAATATTTTAAACTTGACAGAAGCCTTTAATATAAACAGCGTATCTGAGATGTATAATAGTTATAGGAGTAATAGTTGTTGAGTGTAAAACTGATGTTTCTCTTCACAATTCCCTTATAGCCCTGGCCTATGCCTGCATGTCTGCTTTTATTCCTAAATACCTCTATAACTTCTTCCTAAAAGACAACTCGCATGTGATTCAAGGTAGGTTCTCTGTTTAAATCTTATTCTAATAAAATTTTAAAGTCTCTTTAGAAGTATTTGTCTTTCTGTTGATAGAGTTTTATATTCCTAATCTGTTTCTCTGCCCAGAAGACACAAACACCAGAAGCCATGTAGCTAATACACTGAAGTAGCAGCATTAAAAAAAAGCAGCATTGCATGTGGTTGGAGTAGAAGCAGCAGAATTTAATAATATGAGTTATTATTGATATTTTGGTTATTTCAAAATATGTACCCTGTTGTTTGAGGACTTCCTGTTAATGAAGCTACTTATAATCATTGTTTAATTTATCCTCATGACCTTGAATCATGTCACAAAAGTACAACTAAAATTAGAGGAACGTGACTTGTCCCCAGTGTTTGTCGAACTACTATATCCCATTCATTTACTGCTGCTCCAAGTGGCACTAACATTAGGTTGCAACCCTATTTAGGTGGAAAGAGACTGAACCCTGAAAATCATCTTTAACCTCCATTTGCCAAGCTCTTGTGCAAAATCTTTCATATGCTGCTTTTCAAGACATTTTATGCCCCTTAGAATACTGGTAGACTGTTCCGGCCCTATACACCATGGCTTAAATGCTAAGTTGTTTGGTTTTTCATAGTGGAGGGAGGTGCTTCCATCAGCTCCCCTTCCATCCATGGTCCCACACACTGTGGCTTTTGCTAGGTTGTTCAACAGTTCATGGAAGAGTACTGATACATTTTCTTCTTCTGACTACAGTTCAGTGAATCCAAGCCATGGAGCTGCTTTGCACTAAGTTTGGACCCTTGGCTCATGGTATTGTCTGTTCCACCCTTCTGCAAACTGCTGCTTCCTGATGGTCTGGACTACACCTGTCATCAGGTGCAGCTACCATGGTCAATGGTCAGGAATGGTGAAGGTTGTAGTCCAAAACATCTGTAGAGCATCAGGTTGGGGAAGACTAGTTTTTTCTGACTGGCAGTAGATTTGTCAAGGGTTTGGGCAGGGATTCTTTTCCGGCCTAAGTACCTCCCATTTTTGAACTGGAAATGGAGCTTGTAATCTTGTACTGTACTGCTGGTTAATTTAAAGGCCAAGCTTTCTCTTTTCTTAGATTCATTCTTGCTTAGGAAACAAGTTGGAAAGGAATAGGAATGGTAAATATAGAAGAGGGCTACACAGTTGCCAGAAAACAAGAGCTTTCTACAAAAAGGTTGTATGGTTCTTCTCATAGAAACATTCTATACCATAATATCCCTGAAATGTCATAGCAAGCAGGCAGAAACCGTCAAGCAACTGCTTCCTAGGATACATTTGCGACAATTTAGTAATGAGGTTTATATGGCGGGAACCATAGAGTCTGTTCCTAGAGCACGTTTTCCTTTTTTGTGGGAGAGGGTGGTGACTGAACATATTGGGGGTCTTGGGATCCAAAAGAAAGGGTGACCTGTGGCCATAGATTACTTTTTTAATTTCTGCTGTGGAAGATCCATCCAGCTTCCCTTAAAGTCAGGACTGTATGTTCTCTCTTGACTGAGCCTTAACAATCATTCCAGCAGCTCCTATCAGAAAAAAGAAGCACATTCTCCATTCTTGACATTTAGAAGTAGCTAAGAATATAAATGCAAATAATAACAGGAAGTGAATGCCTGCACGGAATAGCACTTAAAGGGCTTCAGTGCATAAACAATCTATGTCACAGCTCTGCAAGGAAAATATGCCAGTGAGGTTGCTTAATTGAAGGACTCTTCAAAGGAATAAAGTTGATTGGATTTTTAAAAATGCAATGAGAAACAATAAAAGATAAAGACTATTTAGTTGGAAATGATATATTTTAAGGTTAGAGTCGAACTATAATTTAATTGTACAGAGTAAACAAGTTAAGAATTTCCTCCTGAGCACTCTTCCATAGTAGCTTAGAGATTTCTAAGGGATGAAAAAAACTATCTTTGTAGATGGATAACTATATATCTATGAAGACTTTTTCCTTCACCCTGCTCTGCATGTATTTTATCTAACAGTTCCAGTTGTACTGTGTGAAATAAAGATGATGATCATTCTATTTTAACAGGCCACTGACTTGCTTTCTTAGAACCTCTGTAGCTGGCTTAAAAACCCAACCAAGACTCAAAACAGAGCAGCTAATTTATTCAGAGACAGACCATTGCAATATCGGTTCTGCAAAACCTGTGATTTACAGCTAACTTATGACCCATACTTAAGCAGCTAGTTCATAAAGTCAAACATGTTGTCCTCCTGCAGTGTATTTAGAGGTTCACAACTGAGCTAGCATCACTCATGCAGGTGCCCAAGTGCATAAAGCAGTGGTACCACTTAAGATCAACCACATGGGCATTTCTATTTTCATGATGGCAGTCATTCAAAAAAGAGTCATTGTGACTGCAGTAAACTGTGGCCATTATATGTATGGTTAAAATGAGTTTATCCCACATGGTAAAATGAGTTTGTAAGTCTGTGCCTTCTCGTCCTTTCTGATTGAAAGCATTTCTCAACTGTTCTGGTGATTGTGTTGGTGTTGGTAGACTTTATGATGAGAAGTAAGCAAAGCATCTCCAATTACATTTTGTTATCCTATGGAGCCACAATATAGGCTTTTAAAAACCATTTCTGTATATGAAAGTGCAGGACCAATTAGAGATTTATAGCTATAGGATATCAAATTAACTGCAGGAATAATTTGTATCATCTGAACCAGTGCTGTTTGGCTGAGCCCAACTGATGCGCTGTCATGAAAGGATGTGTGCCTTCAATAGACACTTAATTAACCATGTAATCCCACATAGCAATTATATTTTATGAGCCTGGCTATTCAAATAAAGATGACATTTAACAAGGTATATCATATCCATGTAGAACCACTGTTGGCACGAATGCCTTGTTTAAAAAGAAGTGTGTTTTCAGGAAACTAATTGTAAATTTGTTTTCATCCTCACATAGCTGAGTTTATGTGATTAGTGGTTTTAAATACTTCACCTGTGGTTGCTGAATTTATTAGGAACATAAATATGTTAACACTGCATGTGGATCATTTCAGGGGCTTATAGATAATACAGTACTAAAGGATCACATGGCTTTTCATACTGGGATAAAAGTTCTGCCTGAACCTCTGGAGGAAAATTAAAAGTAAGAAAAGGGAGTTTGGTGAAAACCCGCTGTTCCTTCCATTTGACCATGTAGGTAAATGGGACTAAAGGCTTGCAAGCTGAAAGGTCAAAACTCTTTCCTATTTGGAAATAGAAATAGAGTGGAACAATGTCAGGACCAAATGACACATTATATTAAATATAATGTGTACAGCTGTACCTCTGATTTTAAATTAGTTACAAGCAAGCATGTGGAATCCTTGCTGCTCCTCCTGATTTAAAAAACTAATATTGTTGGTTGATTGAATTTCAGGAGATCAGACATAGGGAAGATTTAAATTCCCAGTCTTGTGTATAGTAGTCCCAAACTGGATTGTGTGCATGTTTGTGAATGACTAAAAACATTTGTGAGCCGCCCCGAGGCTTCGGCGAATGGGGCGAAATAGAAATTTTCTAAATAAATAAATACATAAAAATTAGGGGCCCAGCTGTAGTTTAGCTCTTAAGGTCTAAGTTGAGAAACCTGTGATGCCACATGAGAAATATGTCATCAGCACATGAGAAATATGTCATCACATGAGAAATATGTCATGAGAAATATGTCATTATATCTATTGGGTAATTAGTGTATAATTTTTAATAACTTCATGTAGCTTGGAGGAGTCTCTGTACCACCCCTTAAAGCAGGAGACCATCCCTGATTTTAACCATGAATGCCAAGATTAAAAAATTGGGAAATACTTGAGTAATACTTGAGTAGGTCCGTATGGCTCCCAGCTAATGACCTGTCCATCATTTGACTTTAGTAACAAACATAAAACTGGTATGTCAAGAAAAGAACACTTATCTCATGGAAGGATATAAACATGTTGTTTACATGTTTATGAACATACAGGATGTTTTATAGCAACAAGGGAAATAAAAATATTAAGTATTATAAATATGTTCAGTGATATGGTAAGCCGACCTGCGATTTTGAATAATAGGATGGCTTACAAAAGCTATAAATAAATAAATAAATAAATAAATATTTTCTGATTAATATTACTGAAACAGATGGCAGATAATGACTATTAATATAATTGCAGATCTGTTGTAAGCCCACAACTGGCAACCCATCATAAAAAAATGAATTATCTTTAAGCAATTGCAATCAATATATTTTATAATGGCTTGTCAACTATTTAATGCCCTGCACTATTACAGGTAGAGGATGAAAAATATATATATCTGCCAGTATTTGGGCTCCACATTTTTTAAGCAATGGAAAAAAAAAATAACATTTGTGTGGTTCCAGATGACTTGTAGTACATATTTTGAGTGTGTCACCCTTTTTGTATTCTCTTTGAAGAAGACATTCCACAAAACAAATCTTGTTTCTGTTCCCTAAGGCCAAATTCCTAGTGGAAGGTTTTGTGCAATGTTTTTCTCTTTTTATCTCTCTTCCAGAATACCTGACCGTGTTCTCCCAGATGATTGCATTCCATGACCCTGAGCTGAGTAACCATCTCAATGAAATTGGCTTCATTCCAGATGTAAGTGGAAATACATTTTTAATAAAGGTACTCATGGAAGATGATGGAAGGTTTGGTCTTCAAATGTTGTTTTCACAAATCACTCTCCAAAGCAAATTTGATTCAAGGAGACTTCCAACCCGGATGGCAGCTGTCAGGGCAATCAGCTATGTGCTTTACTGAAGCAGCTGTGCCACTGCATGTGGTGTTAATTTCAAATGTATGGCATTAATCTCTTGATATTTCCCACATTACTTCTAATCATTTAACACCTACCTTAAACTAGTGCTGCAATTGTCTTACAGGACAAGCCTACAAATGTTTACTTAAATATAAGTCCAGTGAGGCTTACTTCCAACTAAGTGGGAATACAGGAGTGATCTTCAAAAATATCTGTGCTGCAAATGCTTATTCCTGTTTTTTCCATCACTTCTAACTGTCAGTGTCTTTCTCCAAAGGATCTTCATAATTTCATTCTGATGGTGGTGATCATTATTTTAGAATGAATGTGCATACTTTGTACCTTTGACTCGCCAGTATTCATCAAATGGAAGGATCTGACTTTGGCAATCCTTTGAACCAGATTTGAGTTCTAGTCCTATCAAATTGAACAATGATTCATCTTTCAAGTTTCTGTGAGAGAGATTATTTCATGGCAGTCTCCCATTTGCATGTATGCTATAGAACTCTTATTTATTTATTTATTTATTTATTTATTTATTTATTTATTTATTTGGTCAGGTTTATACTGCCCAATAGCTGAAGCTATCTCACAGAATATTGAACATTAATAAACAGTAAATGTGAGTTGTTGCAATACCTTCATTAAGTGTTGTGTGGAATTGGCAGAGAACATTGAAAGGGAACTCTAAAAATAGATACCACATATACTTTATAAAACCTTAAAACAACTTTCAAGAAATACCGTATCTGCCAACTAATTCTGACATGAAGACAAGGCACTCTTAAATTAAGCAACTCTTGCCACCAGAAGTGCAAATTATATCCTTAGATTATACTGGTTTGTTTTCAGTTCCCAGTTATGAAAACAAGCCGCAGTTCCTAGCATGCCTATTAATTATAGGTTCTGGTTGTGTTTTCTTAGTAACCCCTTAGCAAAGTTACTGCCATAAACCCAGTTCTTATTTGGTTGTAAGAAATTTTGCCCCAAGCTAATTATAGGTGTTTAACAAATACAATGAATTATTGTTGAATTTGTGTAATAAGGCTACAGCTAATTGGTATTTAAAAGGACACTGGTGTCAAGCTCTCATCCTTTCTTCAAGTTTCTCTGCTATTTTTAAAAAATTATAGATTTTACATTACAGTGACATTTATGGTACATTTATGTTATATAGCAGTAGCAAGGGGAGGGAAGGTGACTGGCTTTTGCATTCAGATCGTGGGAAAGGAAGGGAATATGCAACTTATGCATAGACAGAAAGCTGCATATTATTGTTCCGATTCTAAATAGTTTTGGCTTTTCTTACACATTGCTCAGGAGCATTTTCCACTGGTTCCCCCTTCCATATGTACCCCTTTGCTCTAAGAAGGGGACTTTGGATCCAAACCAGATTATTATTATTATTAATAGTAATAATTACATTTCGGTACCACTTGGCAGCCAAAGCTCTGTGGGTGGTTCACAGCAGTAAGTCATCCATCCAGATTTAAGCCAAGCCCAGCACTGCATAGCTTCCAAGATTAGGCAGGATCAGGCACTTCAGGCTAATATGGAAGATCATATCAAGCAATCTGTATCTACTCCTTTTTCATAGGGCAATGAAAGAGAAGTCTTAGCCATTCATACTCTCTGACCTGCCAGTTATACAGGGCAGTTGAGCTGACAAGGCTGGCCTGCATAATTTCTGAATTTGTGTTAGACAATTGTGGAATACAAGTTAAATGTAAATGGAATAACTATGGTTTTTTTCCAGTGTAGTTGGTATGGGGAGATGGTCTTGAGTATATTTTGTTCCCTGTTCAGCCTTTTGATCATAACCACAGTTATGCTGGAAAATAGAACAAATATTTACTTCACTGGATTGCTGTTAGGGTAACAAGATAAGATTCTCATACTTTGAGCACTATGGGTTCTATATAACTATTTCTGTTATATACTGAAAAATGAACACATCTCCATTACACAAATTCATTGTCATCCTCTTAATGCAAAACTTTGGGACAATATTTTAAACATTTGTTAATCTTCCAGAGAGCCTTGGCTGTTGGGCAGTATAAACATGAAAAAGGAAATTAATTAATGAAATACTGCAGTAAGCTAAGATTTAGTTATACTTGGATGATGCTGGTAGGGGGCAGTGTGTACTAAGAATACATTTCAACAAATAGCTCCTTTGAGGATGCAACCATGGAGCCATAATCTCAAATGTCCCTTTCTTTCTATTTCAATGCATCTGTTATCTTCCTAAGCTAAAATAAGTTGCAAAAGTGTTTATTCTGTTTGTAAAAGAATTGTGTTAGTTTAATTCTTTGTCCTTTTCTATTCCTGCAATTTTACATTTCTGGAAAACTGCATTGCAGCCCTGATCATGAGATCAAATATTATTTACTACCTTATCATTGTGCTGGCTAGCTGTCAACAGCATCTGATCAGCTCTGTAAGCCCATTAGCATCTCCATGGTGGCTTCTTCATGACTGGATTTGATTTGATAAATTTATGCAGTTGCAGGTATGGCCATAGTCTAAGGAACCTAAATATTTAAGATTTTTTAAAAAAATCAAAGCAGGTCTGCTACTAAAGAGACAAAGCACTCCTTAAGTGGTGTGGCTTGTCTCTTTGTCTCTTTGGTGAGGACAACAACCATTCTGGCCCCTCCTCTGTACACAGCTTCCCCAACACATAAAACTCCCTTTGAGTGCTGTTTACTGATGACAATGGATTAGGCCAGCACTTATACATGTATAGCATTTTAAATTATTCTCATGTTATTTTCAGATGAAATGTGAATAATAAAATATATACATATGCACATCTCAATCCACAGTTCATGAACTGTGCTCTCAGTAATGAATAGATTAGCTTATAGATTACAAAAATAACTTGCGTGATAGAATTGCTTGACTAGAATTCATCACGGTTCTAACTGGTTATTGCATTTTTTTACTCGCATTCCCAGCAGCCTCTGCAATTGTGCTTCTGCTTTCCCTCTAGGCTGCATCTTGGCATCACTGCGTAGTACATACATTGTTACAGAACTTGTCAATTGTGAGTTTAAAGTAACTTAGAATCTGGGTCACTTCTTTCTACAATAGAGAATAAGTATAGCTCGGGAGATCTTATTTAAAGGCAAGCCCCATTATATGCAGATCAAATAAATAAATTAACCTGTTATGTGCCATCAAGTTGTCTCTAACTTATGGCAGCCGTATGAATGAATGTCCTCCAGAATGGCCTGTCCTTCACAGCCCTTCTCAGCTCTTGAAAATTCAAACCTTGGCTTTATGGAATTGACCATCTCATATTTGGCCTTCCTTTTCTTGTTCAGCCTTCAACTTTCCATGGCATGATTGTCTATTCCAGTGAGCTAACCTACAAAACTATAATTTATTTAGGAATAAACTTTTGGTCCAAATAGGAGGCTCAAGACAACCATGATCAAAACAATTTAGAACTTTAAAAATAACTTTCAACTTTAAAAAACCATTTTAAATCTTTAAATCTCATTAACAACAGAATTAAGAGTAGTTGAGAACTTTAAAAACAGTGTGGAGCTAATACTTCTGAAATCCTGAAAAGCCATAGGGAAGAATGAGTTTGAACAGCATAAAACTAAGCACAGAAAGAGCCAACCCAACTTCCTTAGGTGGAGGTCCACCGACAAGGCGCTGTTGCAGAGAAGAGCAACTTAACTTGGTGGTGGGACCATACAGAAGGACATCCAAAGACAGCTTAAAACTACAGGCACGTCGACATGGAAGTAGCCAGCCTTTCTGATACCTTGGCCACCAGGGCTTTATATAGATGAACACCAACAGCTTGAATTGTGCCCAGAAACAGATTAGCACATTCTGTCTATAAAAGCTTAAATGACCACAACATGCACATACTGTATTTAAGTGCATGTATTTAGGACATTTCACAGTGGCCAGTTCACACAACATGGTAAGCAGCCCCATGCTCTTTCTGATGGAACTGAGCAATGATACACCTGTTGCTTAGAACTGAGGGCAATAGAGATTGAACGCTGGAAGCCTCTTCTGTAGTCACTCTTGTCAGAGGACTCTATGATGTTTTCATACCTACAATGGTAAAATGGTGAACCTGGGTACAGGCAACTGGAGAAACCACAGTGAAGTTTCCTTGCAGCAACTCCAGAATTAAGTCAGGACAGTGCAACAGACCTACATGTGTAAGAATCCACCATGGATTCTCATATTTTGTGAACCCACCTAGCAAAATGCACTTAAGTTTTTAATAGTATTCCATACTTTTATACATTTTCTATCTTGAAATGGTTCTTGAACTAGGAAGATTACCACACAGGACACTTGAAATTCAGAGAATTTAATTCAGCATATTAATTCAGCAACTGAATGATTTACTCTGCAATGTGTGTGCAACCTTTCATACTGTATATATGCTTTCTTTTTGGAATTTCATGGTTGTCCACTGCATTTTTCTGCCTGTGCAGTTTAATTGATCAAAACACTGGGAAAAGTTGCAGTCTTAAGACCAAACTTGCAGAGTTGACAACAGAGTTGAATATTTATTCAGGCACAGTGCCTACCTTATCAAACCATATTTCTTGATCTGGTTATAAAGGCTATAACCCACTTTCTAATAATCTGTTCACCACTGGGGGGTAACACATGGTCTTTTTTCCAGTTATATATAGTAGTCATTCTGACTCCTGTTAAGAAATGCACAATAATTTCATTATCTTTAAAAAATAATTTCATTGTTTTGACCACATAAGGCCAGAGTTATTTCTAATTTATTCTAAAATCAAGGTTCAACGGGCTTTAATTTTTGAACACTGCCAAGGATGTGATATTGTCTGCTCTTCCAGTCTGAAAGACCAATATTTATTGCTTACTCCTGGATAGCTTTTGTATAATTTGATGGTCATATACTACAATATAAAGTTCATATATAAATCTGATGTATTTTTAGATCCATTTTCAAACTGCTACAACTATTTATCTTGAAAAATATATCTTCAGTTTTGTCCGATGTGTGTTTTCTATGAGTTCCTGGTTATCAATAAATTTATATGTACAGCTTAATACTATTAAATATTAAATGTAATAATATATAATTTTCACACTTGTTACAGTTAGAAACTGCTGAATTATAACCCTAATACAATTTTTTAAAGCTGTATGGGTCTGTTCTGATAATGTATTCCTTTCCCATTTTGTTTTTATAGCTCTATGCTATTCCTTGGTTTCTCACAATGTTTACACGTAAGTATGATCTTTTTCCCATTTTTCAGTGCTAAGTGTACTTCTGTCTAAGTTCTAAGCCTGCAAAGGATGTCATGACATCTGTAATGTGTCTAGAACTGGAGTCTGACTTTGTGTGACAGTGGAAGGAATTAGATGACTACTACATAAGAGGCAATTCTGCTTTTCAAGATGCAGTCTCTCTCTCTCTCTCTCTCTCTCTCTCTCTCTCTCTCTCTCTCTCTACACACACACACACACACACACACACACACAGAGAGAGAGAGAGAGAGAGAGAGAGAGAGAGAGAGAGAGAGAGAGTTCAACACAATCTATATATTTCTTTGGTGCATGTTTTCATCTTGAGATTCTTGCTGCTTTATCTGGTCATTATGTTCTGCTGTGAATAGCAATTCTGCATCACAGACTTCGTATTTCTGCTATGAATAGCAATTCTGCATCACAGACTTTGTATTCGTTCAGTTATATTGTGCTGGGTAGAGGGTTGGTCTGGAGAACTAGGAGATGGAGGGTCTAGCCCTCACTGAGCCATGAAGCTTACTGAATGGCTTTGAGCTAATCGTTCACTCTCAGCCTAACCTACTTCACAGAGTTGTTGTGAGGCTAAAATGGAGTAAAGACTATGTGGACTGCCTTAGATCATTTACAGGAGGGGAAGATGGGATAGTAATGCAATGCAAATGAAATAATTTCATTTCCTTCTTCAAAATCAGAACTGTGGCCTCATGGAATCCACAATATATAAATTAGATTTTGCTTACATTTGCAGGGTGTAACATTTTAAAGTGGGCCTCCTCATTTTACAGTAGAAACTGTGTCTGCTGTATATCGAAAAATTATGATACAAGGTCATGCTCCTTCTGCATTAAGACCTGTGCATAATTCACAGGGGATTATCCTACAAGCATCCACAAGTGTGTGGAGTCATCCATATACTTAACAGGAGATTTGAGATTTATCTAAGAATTGCAACATAAGCATTCTTCTGAATAAGTGTTTTTACAACTATTTCATATCAGTTGTATAAATGGGGAAGAAATGTTACAGTTCTGTGGTTTAAAAGATCACTTTTCATGATTGGATATTGAAGTGGTTTAAAAATTGTTTTCTAAGTTAACCAAGACTTCAGAGCTTGTTACTGTGCAGTGTTAGTGTGATAAAGTAATCTGTCATCTTTTGCCTACTTACCTAGACTCAGTGGAACGTCATCTTGAGCAGGCATGTATAGGATTGCACTGCCTGATACTCTAGTAATCTCAAGTTAGTGTGATCCATGGTATATCTATTCTTCAGGTAGAAACTGAGCTCATTTCTCCCAAAATATAGCATTCCAAGGAGGTTACCTCAGAGACTGAATCTGAACTAGAAGAAGAGGAAGGGTCAGGATTCTTAGCGGAATCCAAAAGCCAACAAGCCTTGAAATAAGCCAAGCACCTGGTGAGAACGGGATCACCTCTGGTTCAGGGGACACACTGAACAGACTGGGCCCGGCAGGGTGGGAAGAAACTTACACATTCCATCATTTGATGCCAGCTCAAGACAGCTAGAGTATTGAGTATTCCTGCTTGCTGGTCTGCAAGCAGCAGGGACTTCCCTGAGGGTGGAGCTAACTCTGGTGAGGTAAAGAGGAAGAAGATTCGGTTTGGAATCCGTAGCCTTTGTGTCTCTTTTGCTAATAACCTTTGCTGGATCACAAAGCCAGTCTGTCTGACCTGCTTTATGCTCCTTAGAGAGGTCCGCCTGGCGCCGGCATTATATGCTTTTCGGCACCAGGTCAAGACCTTTTTATTTGACCAGTATTTTAAAGTTAATCGATTTTAATTGTATATTTATTTATTTAATTTATTTTAACCATGTCATTTTTATACTCAGTCATGGTGTAGCCAACTTACTTTGTTTAGGATTTATAACATACTGTAAGCCGTCCAGAGAGGACAGTGGTGGACAGCCTATAAATCTCCTAAATAAATAAATAAAGTTAAAAGCCTGTTGTCTTGTTTGGAAGAGCAAAGGAGGCAGGGATTTTGGGGTGAGGAGAGACCAGCTCTTAGCACTATGCTTCATTGATGGTGATCATCCAGCATGCACTTCTGATATTTAGAAAGCATAAATCAAGAAATAAATGGATTTATGCGTGACTTTTCTTCCTTGAAATACTCTCTTGTGTATAATGCACGAAGGTTTAATTGTACTCGTATCATAGAGAGCTGGTGTGGCATAGTGGTTAAGATACTGAGGGTGCAGTCCTATGTAGATGACATCCAAAACTTCCAGACTCAAGGTTGTAATTATTCAGTGCAGGATGGGAGGAGCAGCAGAGGTGATCTTCCCCTCAGGGTTCCCTCTCTGCATCTTTGCTAGAAGGTTGTTTTCCGTCATGTAGTGTTTGATGCTGCAGGTTACCTTGCATCCTGGCCACTCCATTCACCTCCCTGCTCTCTCTAGCTCCACCTGAGGTCCCTTTTGCGGTGTCGGAGAATAGCCAGCATGGTTCTGTTTCCATTGGCTGCGTGGGGACTCTCCAGAACAATATGGGAGGTAGCACCAAGGATGGCAAGGCAAAGGGAAAATTGGCAAAACATGTTCCCTTGCTCCCTTCTTCCAGCAGTGATGGTGCCAAGAGAGGACTTAACAGGATCCCAATTTCCTCTGCAAACAAAAGGTCCCCAGAGAGGAAAATGTTATCTAACATGTTCCAAACTAAACAAACAAATTGTTTCCATCCCCTGTTATGCCTTGTGTAAAGTTGCAGTCCTGTGGACACACACTGAGCAAGTTCCAATGAATTCTGTGATATTTATTTTTGAGTATGCATGCATGTATTAAATCCCATCTTGTTTTCCCCTAATAAAACACACCCAGTCCTTACATGGTTAGCTACCAAGCACTGGTGGCCTCTTTTGAAATATTTTGGTAAGCAGAATGTTTAATAGATGTTTTGCTTATTTAGTTAACCTCAAATGAAGCCATTGCATTGCATTGCATTAGTATATCAGTTGTGCATCTAAATGTGTCTTTCTAGTGACAAATACCTATTGTCTCCTTTAATCTACATCTTCATATCATTGCCAATTATTTTTTAAGCTTATTAATTAGATGGAAACTGTGGGCATTTCCTGGTTCTTTTCTGTACATGACACCTCTGGTATACATTTATGAGAAGATTGAGCGTCTGCTTATGGGAGAAAAGCCCCTTTGAAGACATAATTAGGAAGTTAATGCCAACACAGATCATTCATCTCTTTTGTTTTGCATTAGTAATAGCCTTCTGCATAAAGACAGATTGTTTCAGAAAGAGAAGGAAGTCCTTGAAGGCTTGTGTGAGGGGGAGGTTGGGATCAGAATAAATTATCCATTTAATTAGGCATATAATAATATTGAAATGAGATTGGTTACCTTGGAGAGTAATAAATCTACATATGAAAATAGGTCTTTCCAAATGTTGATATATTGCTTAACAAAGGCAATAGAACATGCTGTTTTAGAAATATGTCAAAAGTAGTTTATAACCAGCTCAAGGTCTGTAGAAGTTTAGGAGTCCTAGTAATTTAATCAATGAATTAGTTGATTAAATGCCACCATTGCATGTCCATGGTTTATTATCATGCTTATAAACTGTCGCATGCCTCAGGGCTGTGCACGCCCATCCTTCCCTCTCATCCTGCACAGCAAAGAAGACAACTTTGTAAGGCTTTAGTTTTGACTTTACTATGGTGTTCCATTTCCTCATAACTGGGAATCATGGTTAACATTAAGAACACAACCTCTTAACATGTGACTTGATGCTGACTTGTTTTGAAACTAACATGAATTACTATTAACCCGTGATCACTTGGTGAAAGAAGAAGTTGTGATTCATAAAACAGAAAGTAACAGTTTCTGTAGTTGTCTTCCCAGCCATGTAGGAGGAGAACGATATGGTAATGGAGCAAATGTAACCATAGTCTTCCTCAGACATACTTTTTACTCTGATCTTCAGTTCAGGGACTGTGGGAGTTCTGCATCAAGTTTAAAAACAATGGTTACATGATCAAATTACTAAATGTCAGCCTGAAATAAGATGGAGCATGAAATTTAAGAAGCACAGGACAGTTTGGCCACATGGCAATCTCCCATTCGATCTATACGTCCTCAGGATGTTGCTTACGTTGCCACAAAGCCCCCAGTTCCTTGCCACACATTCCTTTCTGTATGGAGGTTGTGTGTTAGTCTCCACACTGGGAATTACCAGAAAGTGGATGGATCTGAATGGTGTACCATTATCTGTTTCATAGGTTTTTAAACAAGCTGCCTCTGTCTGGCTCTTTTAGAACTCCAAATATCAGTCAGTCATTCAGACATCTCTCCCTTGGTCTTCCTTTAATAGCCACACTTTTCTTTGGTCCACTTTCCAAATTGTAGCACTGATTTGCTTGCCTGGCCTTCTGCCTGTGTGTCTCCTTAACCTTATTTTTTGTTCTTCAGTTGCAGCCTAAGCATGCTTGTGTGCACGCCTTGGCCCCTGTGTTCTTGTTTATACACACCGCTGTTCGTACATCCTTCCAGAACTTTGGCTGCAACACGAACCTCTCATATTGGCTTCCCATTAACAGCTCTGTACATACTATCAGACTTGATCCCCTTCCCTAGCACCTTACCTACTACATGTGAGAAAGTCCTAACAGGCAGAAAAATCTCCAAATTACTTCTTCATCCTTTTGCTCTGCTTGATAACTTCCATTTTGCAGCAAAACCCCTAGATCACTTGCTTTAGTTGTACAAAAGCCTTTTAAAATATTGGATCAATAGGCTTGTCTGATTGATCTACTAATAGCAAGGAAGGGTTTTAGCTTGCAAGATAATAAAAAAGTGAATCTCGCCTTAATGAGTATTTCTTTGTCGCTTTGCAGATGTCTTCCCTTTGCACAAAATTTTTCATCTGTGGGATACATTACTGCTTGGGAATTCTTCCTTCCCATTTTGCATTGGAGTGGCTGTTCTGCAGCAACTGAGGGACCGGCTTCTCTCCAATGGATTCAATGAATGCATTTTGCTGTTTTCTGATTTGCCAGGTATCAGCATTATATTTACTAATCTTGTTTCTTTACAGGATGTCATGTCATAATTTGTAAAGTTTAACGTTATAGTCTTCAGGATTTCAATATAAAATAGAGTTTCACTAAAGGCAGCCTAGAAATAATATTGAATAAATAAGTAAATGAAAGTACTACCGTAAAGAGATGGAAAGAATTGACATTGATTAGCTCTTATGTTGCAATTAACAGAATTTACATTGGTAACATTTGTTATATTTCCATGTGGAAAGGCAAAATTGGTCTAACATACATGTACAAGTTCTTAATCTTGGTATAAATGAAGCAACCCACAGGCATAATTTCCGCTAGGAAGAGAACAATACTTCCCTCTTTGCCAGCTATTACTGAGAAAATGATACCAGATTTTTCAAAAGCATTAGCCAGTATATGGCTAGTCGACTTCCCAATGAAACCATGCATTTTCAGAATTGCATACTGTAGAAACTCTTTTTTGGCTCCTACAGCATTGCAAACTGAATGTAATTGGTTAAGTATCTGAAATATGCAAAGTATCATTTTTTAAATTTCAGCAATCTAATTTGTCTTAATTTTCATTTTTTATAAATAGTGCATTAAGTAGCATTCCTAGTGTTCTTTCACCCCATTTCTCTTGACCACAACATTAATATTTACGTTGATGCACTCAAACCACCAGTAAAGTCAATAGCAAACTTTGGTTCTTAAGAATCTGAATTGCAACAATTGCATTAGGATTGGCAACAAGACTTGCAAATAGATTGAAATAAGTTCTGCAGTCCTAAGGAACTTTACAAGGAAAAAAGAGCTGAGCTGCCTGTTATACCCTGGGTCCCCGCACAGTGTCCATGGGCTCCACCAATGGTGTCTGCAAAGACTCAAATTTAGTCTAATTTTTCAAAGCACCTTTATTTTTTATTTCAAACCTCCTTTTTATTATAAATATATTTTATTATATACCTGCATTTTAAAATTTATACACTTTTCTATCAGTTTTACATAGCCTTCAACCAAGGCTGACTAAATAACCAAATTAGTATCTATTTGAAGGTGGTAACTACTTGCTACCTGTTCACATATTGAAAACATTGTACATTCTTCAGTCTTATTGCATTATAGTAGTAATATCAGTCTTCTAACTTTGAGAAGGGTGCAGAGAATACATTTATGTTGATAGTTTTTTAATCTCCATGAAGCAGGTAAGTAATTTCAAAGGGTGTTTGCACCAGTGTATATTAAAGACTGTTCCTGTACAAAATTTATCTGTGTAATAACATTTCTCTCAAAAGGAGGAACTTATGGACATTACAAAACATATAAATATATATTAGCTGCATTGTACTGCCAATTGTACTACTGTTGAAGTAACTGTTCTCTTTTGAAGAGACACACAAAAAGGCTTTTAGTGACTGAGTCCCAACTGAGTGTCTGTAGGTGCAACAGGAGAATGCCAAAATGGCATTTTGTGGTGGTGCCCATGCAAATTTTTCGCAAGTTCCCAGGGGCCAAAAAAGTTGGAGACCCTTGTGCTGACAAGTTGCTAAGTTCTGGGTGTGTTTGTTTGAACAATGACATCTCCTCCAGAAGCTGCCCCTACGGATGAAGAAAAGCTTGGAGAAGTATCAGTGATTTTGCTCCTCACCATTCTTCTCAGCAAGATGAATTATGTGCTATTTCTGTTCCATGAACAGACACAAGAGCTGCTTGTTTATGGAAGGATTGTTTTTGTTCCTGTATATTCTTCAATCGCTTAGGTTAGCTGTTTTTGTCAAGGAGTAAGAGGCAGATGTGTCTATAAAACAGCTCTCGAAAATTCATCAAAGGTGAATAATGGCATTTGTGAAACAGAAGCTATACAACGTAGCTGCCAATATTTAATAGCTTGCAGCCAAGAATGGGGTAAAGCAGCTGGCTTTGGTACAACAGGAAAGTTATTTCTTAGCACACACCTGCTTACCAAAAATGTTCTGTAATTCAAGGCCTGCAAGAATGGTGCCATTTTCCCTAAAGCTGTGAATCCTTTAATACATATTTTCCACTTGTATCTCAAGACGTTCAAAAATCCAGGTGTATTAATCCTATGTGTCTATGTGTGTTTCAGAATTAAGAACCAGAAAACTTGAAATAATCTTATTATATGGTTATTTATATCACATTTTATCCAGTGGTGTTCCTCCCTTTAGGCCCTTTGATACAGTAGAGATGGCCATCAGCAGAATGGGTATGAAAGTGATTGGAACAGTTTTTCTCTCTCCTGTGGCCCTCCCACGTTCTCCAGAAACTGTTCACCAATTCTCACTCCCCTGCAGTCCCAGTGCCACTTCTCCTACAGTTTCCAATAGTCCTGTTTTCCTCTAGACAAGGGAGGGTAGGAGAATGATTGAAAATCACTTTCCTTGCCCATTCTGCTACTGGCTTAAAGAGCTCTGCAAGATTCCTGAACTTGAGCCTACAATGCTAAATCTTTTACCTGTCTTAACTTCAGACAGGGCCCGTGACAACAATATTCAAAAGAAATAGTCAAACTATAGCAGGTACAGCATACTTCTGCCGTGTTCACTAGACAGAAAGTGTTAAGGACTTCCAGCAAAACAATATCTTATTAATTGAAAATACATTGATGTCAGATGAAAAATGAGAGGGGTGAGGCTTTGACTGGCGCATATCCAGCCTTCTGTCCCAGTGGTTCAAAACCACCCATTGCCCTGTCAGAACCCCCCCTTAATGGGAAAACAGAGCTTTGGCTATTAACCAAAAGCACTTTTCCCCGGAAAGTGTCTGGGGGAAAGCATTTTTTTCCAGTTTGCCAAGCACAGAGAGTTTCAAATAGAAATGTAAACTGTATGCCACCCTGAGGATTGTTAGAGTGAAAAAAGTTGAAGATCATGTCCCTGAGGTGATATAGATCCACTACTCCAGTTTTGCAAGTGAGGGTTACTTGAGCTTTTAGTTGCTCATGATAGTTTGCCTTTTGAGAACTGCCTTTTCAGTTTGCCTTTCCAAAGTAGGAAAAGGCCTCTTTGAAGACTATTTGGGGCAGTGTCCAGAATTGGTACCTGCTGCACCCTGGCAGTAGGTATCCTCCAATCGAAGCTTCAAATTCCTACATTGGCACAGTTGCAAACCTCCACAGATGCTCAGGTACAGCTAAAAACAGTTGTTTGAAATAATACAAGCATTATTTGTACATATTTTGTGTGTGCAAGCACGCCAAAGGGGAAAATTTAAAGAAAATCTTACACCACCTCCAATATGCCACCTAGGCAACTTGAAGAGGCTGACAGTTGATTGAGAATAGTCTGGTAGCCAAAGCCCTCTGTCAAGCTGGCTCTTGCAAATCTCCAGGGAAGAAAAAAGTTAAAATGCAGAGCGCTGCAGGGAAAATAACTCTTTTTTGGAGTGGTGAAGGGGCATTTGCGGGCAGCTGGCATTGGTGGCGGCTGGACAAGCTCAGGAAAGCAGCAAGGGGTTTATGCTTCTCTTACCAAATGTGTCACTGGCTGCTGAACTTTACCAAGAGTACCAATCATTTGAATTTGGAAAACATGACAACTCACTGAGAGTTAAGTTAGAGAGGCTTGCTTTATATTTTTCCTGTTCCTTTAAGGCCAGTGTGGGTAAACACAGATGGTTTAGACCAGTGGTGGCGAACCTATGGCATGCATGCCACAGTGGGCACACAAAGCCCTCTCTGTTGGCGTGTGACCAGAGTCACCCCAGCATTACCCCAGTAGCCAAGCATCGGATAAGAGCGCACATAGTGGCCATGCGCATGCTTCGAAAGGAGTAGCGGCGCCAGGCAATGGTGTCATGAGCCACGGCTCATTAGCTGCAACTCATCAGAGCTTTCGCATGGCCGGTCAGTGTGCTGCCAAGGATATATACAGTGGTACCTCAGCTCACGAACACCTTGGCTCACGAACAAATCGGGTCACAAACAAAAATTACTGACAAAAATTTTATTTGGTCACGAACACCGCTTTGGGTGGCGATCAGGATCGCAGTCATCTCCCCCGCCCACCCCGGTGGGGAGATGGCCATGATCGCAGTTCCACTCGTGCAGGGAAGGCGTCCGTGATCAGAGACGCGCTGCTGCACGAATGGCAAGCGGATTCTCGGCGATCTGCCCCGTGGCTCTGCTTTGCTGCTTCCGTCTTTAGTGCAGCCGTGTGCCTCTGATCATGGATCGCAGTTGCTTCCATGCAGGGAATTGCAGCCATCTCCCCACCCTCAGCACACCGTTTGCGCCCATCCCTCCCTGCCCCAGTGCGCCCGCGATCACTCCCGTCTCTCCCGCCCACCCCCCAGCACACCAGGATGACGGGCGTCTGCAGGGATGACAGGCATGTGCAGGGATGACGGGTGCGATCTCGTTCATGCTGGGGGGGTGCAGGGAGATGGCTGCGCTTGTGCTTGGGGTGGTGGGGGGAAGATGGCCACGATCTTTGTTGTTGTCACTTTGCTTCACATTTTTCTGATTTAAAAAATGGCTACAGAACGGATTAACTTTATTTACATTGAACGTTATGGGGAAATTTAACTTGGCTCACGACCATTTTGGATCACGACCTGGAATGGATTAAGTTCGTGAGCCAAGGTACCACTGTATATATTTGCTTGGACTAGCTGTGAGGTGTTTTTTCTAAACTAAAACCTCATTTCTCAGGTTGTATTGCCTTGTTGGCACTTTGTGATAAATTAGTGGGTTTTGGGTTGCGGTTTGGGCACTTGGTCTCTAAAAGGTTCGCCATCACTGGTTTAGATGATATGAGAGCTAAGCATGGCTCACTGCCAGTTGTGGGTTGTCATGGGATGCAGAACAGGTCGATGCGTTTGACCTCATGAGTTGTTCCTTTTTTCCCTACTGGATTGTTAGGTGGGCTTTTTCTGGAAGAGCAGGTTTCTGGAACAGATGGCATGATGCACAAGTTTATGAGCACATACACTACCGTGTACTGTTTTTACTGTGCTTTTCATGAAATAGTTTCTCTCACTAATCCCCTGGTCTAGCATTCTTTGCTTTGTTTTGTGCTTTCGCACTTTGAGCTGTCTGTGCAGACAGTCTCTGAAGTACTTTGCTGCAAAATTTTCCCTTGTTGCCACCTGTGTATCATCTTAAACTTGATACTTTAAACTTGCACTGCCATCACATTAAGATATAGGTTGAAAGTTTAAAATGGCTGTCAGAGATTATTGCATCTATCAGAAGTCACTGTGGCTTTGCAGTTTATCATTTACCTTTGGACAAGAATTTTAAGTGCATAGTATGTGACTGAGTCATTGTGTGGAGTTTTAGGCTGCTCTTTCCCCTAAAAGTTCGCCATCCATGTGTGGCAATTTTATCAAATCAAGAAGATTAATGATTGTCTTAAAGTTGAAAAATTCAAGTCAACCAATTGCCATTGTTCCGCTAACAGATTCTTTTCCTCACTTCATTACACCCACAGGAAATAAGTATATTAACCAGACTTGCTTAGTTTTGATAGTAGTTTTAAACAATTTCCAGGCTAGATGGAAGTGATGTGACAAGTAGAGGAAGACTTGTAATCACCGTATTTTTAAAAAATCTTTTCCCATTTCTGCGTATTGCAGCTTTTTAATCCTTCCCTTCTTCTGTGGAGTTTAGGATGCCATGTATGGTGTGTCTCCTCTGACACATGCAACCTTCATCCTGAAAAGTCTTATGAGTGAGATTAGGTGGAGAGATTGCTTCAAAGAGATTTACTTCAGGCTTCTAAGATTGCCAAGTTTTAGGGAGCAATAAGTAGCAGCCTGGCTGTACATTGTTAGAATCCAACAGCTACAACCCTGTACACCTCTAAAAACTACAGAAATCATCTGAGTCTAAATGTCATTGAATGCAGTACACTGGTAGTACAGGCTATTGGTTTCAGAGTGTTTGGAACTGGCTTCTAGCTAAGATGATCAAACATCAAGTCACTGACAGCAATTATATCACAAGGTAGCAGATCATTTCTTGCTTGCTGGAAGTGATTGTACCACTTTTTCAAATTCAGAAGACCATGTCAAGTTCAGATTCATGAACATTATTTTCAGTGGTGCTGCCTCAACATCTCTTTCAGCAATTCTAAACATGACAAGATGCATGAAGCTTGGGCTTCAAATCATGGTAAAGGATGCCATGCCCTGCATTCAACACTGTTTGGCCTGAATTTAGCAGGTATTACTATCATTATATTTGCAGATAGCCTGCACATTGTAATTTCAGTTTTCTGTTTAAAATATACCTTTCACTTGCATTTGTGGTATAATCTTAACGTGACTTGTACTAAACATTAATTGTCATTTGAAATTTTCACCTGATTCCCTGATAACACAGGAAAATAAAGTATATCACTGTCTAACTAGATTATATCACAATTTACAAAGATGCATGTTAAAGCCTAAAATTATTTCATTGTTCAGTTGAATGTTTCCCAAAAAATACACTATGTCTATGCTAGAGTTTTGTTCTGTTTTCATCAGTAGTTCATTCCGCCTCCCCTTATTTTGGTTTCCTTTGTTCAGAAATAGACATAGAACGATGTGTCCGTGAGTCGATTAACCTTTTCTGCTGGACCCCTAAGAGTGCTACCTACAGACAATATGCACAGCATCCCAAGCAAGCAAGCGAGGGAAATGGTACGAGAAGTTTAGCATCATGTTTCTCATCAGACAATCAGGATGTGCCCAGAAGTGATCTGGTGAGTTGTTTCTTAGCTGGTTGTTATGGACTAGAATGTTAAGTATACACTTGTGGCATTAAAAGCCTTGTATGTTTTTTTTTTCCAAGTTGGTATGTATTAAGGGATCATGATACCTTACAGTAAAAAACAGGTATAGGTATAGATATTTCAAATAAGTACAGGTATAGATATTTAAAATAAACATAAAAAGTAAATACCAAAACCTTATCTTTTATTATCCAAAATGTTGTAATTATTCAAATGAAGCACATGTGTACCTGTAACATGTGCAAAGCACTAGTTGCCAGTAATGTGTTTGGAGGTGTTAGCTCATTTGCTTGGATATTAAGTTTATTGCATCACCGTGATTTTATAGGCAGATGAGTTTTTAAGGGGAGTAAAAGTGGTTTTCTTGAATTTTGCAAGGGAATTTATATTGAAGGCATCATCTGGGAAGGAACATGTAACAGTTTTATCAAAAAAACGGGCACGGCACTGGATGACTTTGGGCCAGTCTCAGACTCTCACGTCAACCACCTCACGGGGCAGTGGTGGTTGTTGGGAGGATAAGATTGAGAGAAGTAGAATCATGTAAGCTGCCTTGAGTTCCTTGAAAGGTACAAAAGCTGGATTAACGCAAGAGACCAAGAGAGAGATGCTGTTGGGCCCAAGAGCTCCAACCTAGAAAGACATTTTGAGTACAGTATATTTTGCTGTGTTTTGGAATGACTTAAGTCTTGTCCATTTGAGAGGCAATCAGTCTCAAGCCCCCACAAACTCCTTCTCTATCATCACAAGGCATAAGGTAAGTAACAAATCGATTCAGCCATACTGTATATGGCACCTTCCTTGTTGCTCACTCTGTCACAAATAAAAATGGAAAGTCCAGATGCCTATGAATTTACATAGGCATGGTGCAGCCTAGTTCGTTGCACCTTGAAAACTAATGCCAGGTTGAGAGCTCTTCCTGGAATATGCTGCTTGTGCAGCATTTGAGAAATATGTGGATGAATGATTACATGTTCCTGTACTACAAGAGTAAGTGGATTTAAATTATATGGAGACATTTTATTCAAGTATGGATGTCTTTACAGTCAAGCATGGATGTTCATATAGTATAATTATGTTTTATATTTCTTAACCATCTGTTCAGATATTTATTGTTTGGATGTTCAAGCATTCTTTTTTCTTAATGAACAGGGTATTTTAGTTAGCTAGGTGCTCTAAGCAATAGTACCCTTTTTAATCTTCCCTGACTCTTCAATCATGCTGAGTTCTGTGCTGTTCTACACTTTGATAGCCATGTGACATTTGTTTATGTTCCAGTACCATTTTGATTCTAAAATTGCTCTGAAGAATGTGCCAGTAGAAGAATGTATGTCATCTTGTGCCAGGGCTTCCCCCCACACCTGTTCTCCTCCTGCTTCTATTGAGTGTAGCCTTTTATTTCCTCAACTGAAATTATTGACGTCTTGATGCAGGGCTTCCAAGTAAGCCTTTCCTCCACTGAAGAATAAAGGCCTCATTCCACCTTTTCACTGAATCTGTGAGATGTGCTACTTAAAATCCCATTGCTTTACTTTAGATTGCTTATGATAGCCAATGTGTTGGTTGCCAGTTCCTTGAGAAGATAGTTCCTGTGTTAGCAATCTGAAAAAAAAATCTGTTATTTGCATTTAGCTGTGGAAAAACAGAAAAACACTTTGTGGAAAGCTCTGCTGTGGAAATGGCCTTTTGGGAAGGTGGTAGGATGCACTTGATAACATTTTGGAGCATTTGTTATACTAGCCTGCGAATATGTTGACTTTCTTGGCCCTTTGGGAATGATTTTAAATCTGTAGAGAAGTTTTTGCAAACTGTTAAATCTTTTGAAGATTAACAGTTCTTTCTGGTTTTCACCATTTGAATATGTTAATTTTTTTCCAATGGGAAAGAAGGGATAACAAACAAATATCCAATGATGCTTGTCCACAAGTGCCCAGCCCTGCCTATTTCATGGCAGAACTTCATCTCCCTGATGTTTTTAGGCTCTTTTGCATTTCAGCGATAAATATATCAATTTCATTAGTGACATGACCCCTGCACTGTATTTTATCCTTAAGACCTATCTCACTCATTTTGAGAATATGGATTATGTTCTGGAAAGAAGCAATACTTAGTTTAAAGAACAAGCATATATATATTTTAGTAGAAAAATAACTGAACCAATTCCATTGAATAAGACTTATGAGCAGTTATTGTTTTCTCCTTGAGAAGTTCCAATAGCAGCAGATATGCAAAGAATTGATAAACAAGACAACAGACCTTGCCTCGGTAAGAGGCTTGCACTCTCTGAGCCAAATATCAGCCTTATCAGCAAAGGTGCTCCATGATCTTTTCACACCCCAACAAAGTCTTATTTTTTATCACCTTGACACTGGATGTCTTATTTATACATTGGGATTCCTATCATGCCATGAACAGTATTTTTCCTCAGTGTGTTGATCACTTCCTATAGTAAACTCTTGAAGCCCATTATCACAGAGCAAAATAAATGTTGATGGTATGTTATACAAAGAAAAATAAATACTCTTTCAGCAGTTCTGCATCTAGCACATGCCTTAGCTCAAGAAGAGCACTTGATGTGGCTTCGTTTCTTCTGAAGTGGGAAATTTTTGGGGCTTCTGAGGCACCACACAGCTTTTCAGTTTACTATTGTAAAATGCCCATGTTGAGAAAAATAAACCAACGTGTCTTTGTTTTTGAATAGTGCTATTCTTAATTATATGGAGAACTATGCTGAAAAGAAAACTCCTCAAAGTTCTGCCCAGTGTCCGGTTGCACAGTCCGGGCTGGCTCTGCCATGAAGCAACATGAGGCAGCTAACTTTGTGAGGCAGCGGATTTTAGGTGTAATGAAAGGGGCAAGATAAGGATTTGAGGGAATGCGATAGACACAATGTAGTCCTAGCAGTGCTTATTTTCCCTTAAATATTTGAGTGATTTTAGGTAAAAGGGTAGGGGATTTGACTGAAACAGTTATTGCAGCAGCTGAAAATAGCACAGTATAGTGCTGTTTCCAGAAATTTGCTATTTTACTTCATCCTCCAGTGAAGATGCTATATATTTCATCTCGTATATAGTTGCTTCATATTTTGCAAAGAGTCAATCTGTATTCAGTTTCACATTTAGTAGTGAAATAATCCTCAAGGACTGACCATTGGGCATCTATAGTAGACCTCAGTCCTGTTAGTATTATAGACCAAGTAAAGCTCTAACATAGATTATTTCCTAATTTCTTTTTCTGGTATGGGTAATTGCCATTCTCCCAAAAAATATAATAAAATATTTATGAAATGTGAGGAGTGTACTCACTTCTGTGATATACTGTAATGTGGATGGGCATTGATCCCAGCAAAGTTCTCATACAGCTAGCAGCACTTAATTTGTGTAGTCCAGAATCCAGTTGTTCATTGCAAGCTGGTGTATAATATAAAAATAGGCCTTTGGGTCATATCTCAGAACAAGCAAATATCCTATCATAATGATGGATGCTTTGAGTCTGCAGAAGGAAAGCTTGTATTTTACAGGACACCATGGAGTATAGACCAACTATCTATGCAGAACTATGATCAATTGATCAATTGATTGATATCCTGCCTTTTTTTCCTCCAAGAAACCCAAAGTAGTTTACAAAATGCTCATTCTTCTTCATTTTTTCTCAGAACAGCCCTGTGAGGAAGCTTAGACTGAGCATTAGTGACTTGTCCATAGTCATCCAGTGTGTTTCCTGAACAAGTGGAGAAAAGATTTTTATTCCCTCTCTCCCTCTCCTTCTCCCTCTCTCCTTCTCTCCTTCTATAGTCTCTGGCATTGAAAGCTAGACTACATTTTGTCAGGCACGAAACAGATGTTTTGCTTTCACCATAACAACATCCCTGCTGTGCTTTGGAGGCGTCTCCCTGTTTGTCCCAGTAGCCTGGTTCCCTGAGAACCAACCCTGCCCTTACCTATCTTGCACCACTTCCAAACTTATACAGCCCCATCCTGCGTTCTGTTTCTTGGTCACTCAAAAGTGTAATGGAACCTGGAGGACTGAATTACTGTTCTTTCAAGTTATTCCTCATCACACGATCAGTTTGATCATCCTCTTTCCTTGTTATACCTTGGTTATTTCATCACTCTTAATGATTTAGAGAGCATCCCAGAGCAAGAGACTCTTTCAAATTCCCCCCTCCTGAAACTGTAGGCATTACTACCACCTCAGGAGGAGGATATCCAGCATGGGGACCTTTGTCCTCATAGAAAACATAGACAGTGCCATGCCAGCTGCTTTATGAGGTCACAATAGTTACCTTAGATCACAAAGGAGGCATTCCAGTTGGTGACAAAGCCAGAGGATAGCCTTTCTTTCTCTGTTCCTGCCCAGTGAAAGTAAGTGAGCCAAACAGGCCCAAGGACCCATCCATAAGAAGAATGGACATTCCTGTCTTGGAAAGTTCTGTAGTGAGGACTGCTGTTCTATAAGACTAGTAAGCCCAGAAAGGTGTCCTGTATAAAACATGTATATCACTTCATGGAGCATTCTAATCTTGGCTAGGACTGCTTTTATGAATGGCTAAATTAACAGGCATGTTGCATTGTATCCCATCATGAGGAGGAACTGTACCACTCTTCTCTGCATTGGAACTCTAAAGAAAGAGGAGGTTTTGACCACATAAGCTGTGGTTTGGCAAGCAAACCAGCATGCACGGCCTTTGCTTGAAATGTAAATTGGCTAAGACACGGTATAAAATCTGTGACTACAGAATGCATAACTTATCAGCCTCTAAAAATAGTAAATGCAGAATTATAAAGCAGAATATAAAACAGTTTAAAGTTTGTTGCACAAGTCATGTTTCATTATTGAATTTCCTTCATTTCTGCACAAGTCATTATTTAATCTTCCTAGAAAGATTAAGTAACTGAAAATTAATGCCAGCTGCCTGGCCGTTCAAGGGCATTCTTTGACTGAGTTTTTCATTTTGCTTTTCTCTCCTTTTAAAAGTCTAGGGATTCTATCAAGCTGAATGATCTTAAATCAGAAGTGTCACCACGGATCTCAGCTGAAGACTTGATTGACCTGTGTGACCTGACAGGACCGAGTCATTTCAAGACTCCAACAAAGAAAACAAAATCCAGCAAGCCAAAGTTGCTTATTGTTGATATCCGTAACAGTGAAGAGTATCCTTCTAAACTCAAAAAGTCACGGTTTAATAGTTTTGTTTTCTCTCTATAGAAATATTTCAGTAATAGGAAAAAGAGTTTTTAATTAATCTTCCTTAGGCCTAATTCTCCCTAAAGTGTCTGATCACCATAGGGGAGTTATTTATTTACATTTATATTAAAATCTTTTAAACCTGCTTTTTCTAAATGTCCAAACTTGTGTAAAATTTACAACCAATCAGGTAGTGTATACACCATTCAGTTGAAAACCCTTCCAAAGGGGAAAAAGTTGATAGACCTCTTCTATCAATTTTCCAGCCTCTTCTGGAAAGAGGCTTCACAAATATGGGCCAATTCTGTAAAAGCCAAGTATCTGGTTGCCTGTATCCAAATGTGTGACAAAGCTAGTGCTAGCACTAGGACCTGGCCTAAAGCTGAGATGGCAGCTATGCTTATACAGGAATGGATGGTCCTTACATATAAGGTCATGGTCAATGCAAGTCTTTAAAGATTAAACTCAGTACCTTGAATTTGAATCCAGAAGCAAATTGGCCACCACTACAAGTAGAGCAAAAAGGAGCCTCCAAGTCCTACCTGACAAAAAGAAAGTCTTAATTATATGCCAGAGATTATTTTTTTACAAAATTGTATATCAATCTCTCTCCCTATCACTTAAATCTTCTAGTGTTGTGGTAGAACTGGGAGGCTGTTCTAAGTCAGCAAATAGAAGCAAAACAGAATTGTCAGGGCTTGAACATATGCCAAAACTCAACCCTCAACATGTTATGGTGTCTGACTAAAACAAAAGTGATCAAAGAACCATGAAAATGTAATCATTTCTTCTGTATGTTTATTCATTTCACATGCTGCTGGAGGTTTCCAGTCAATCACTGGCTTTAGGATCTAAATCATTCAGCTCTTCATTGTTTAGTCTTCTGAGACTTTTCCTCTTGACAAGTTCAGCTTTTATGTTAGCTTTATTCATAGTAAGTCTTTTAATTTTATCATCCGTTCTCCCTGACATATTTACATATATTAAAAAAAAACAGCAGAAATGTGAGCAGATTGGCTAACAAGTTTTGTATCACAGTGCAGTTCTTCATATCAATGCAAAATGACTTTGCAAAGCTAATAACGAGTTTGTCAGATTTGCTAGAACTAAAGTTAGGTTTTGACTGATCCATCACACATACAGACCCTCCCCCCCCCAAAAAAAAAAAAAAAAAAACACTGGAAGAACCATTAGAAGAAGCAAGGCACTGCATGTTTAGATTCTTTGGACCTGTACCCACCCAGTCCTAAATACTGAGAGTATATAACAACAACACAAATGCAAAAGACATGTTATGTTTGCCTCCTGCATTTTTTGGTCGATGGTATCCACTTAAGACTAGAGGCATGCCTAGGAACAGAGGAACTCCGTTTTTAAAAGTTGGGCTCAGCCATTGTCTCTTTGCTGTAACCTAATATCAGCAGTGCACCTGCTTAGTAGAGACTAATTCAGTCCGTCTTCAGTCTCCATATGAAAGCAGGCTCAATGAAGACCTATTTTTAGTTTTCCCTCTTTTTACTTACCCACTGCTGTGCAAAACCTGACATTCTGGAGAACTTGAAAATTTACTATTTTGTGGCATTTTGATTGTGTCAGCGGTTGCACAGTTTTTGCATATTCCAAGGCGGGCAAACAGATTGCAGCTAGACATACTTTTGTCTACAAACTAGAACTGGAAACCACAGCTTGAATATATGGACATAGATGACCAAATTATGCCACCTAAATTTAAGCCAGTATTGGTGAGTTTTCAGGCTGTACTTGTGGTCATCATTATTCACTCTGTATATTCACTTTAAATACTGATGATAAGGCAAAATCCAACTTAAGTCCCATTCATTTCAGTGGATCCACTTTAAGAAAGTTATGTGTCACATTTTACCCATAGTTTTCAATATTTTTGCCCATGACCCCTCCAAGCAGTTAAGGAAAACAAAAGGTGGTTGATGTTGTTATTGCATTGTCTTAACAACATTTGATGGAAAATAAACACTGTGACATACCTACTTAGCAAGAAATGTTCTTTTGTTCTTTTATTTATTTTATTTTCATTATAAACCTGCACTTAGATGTTAAGAACTTACTGAAATACAGTCTAATGTATATTGTAAGTCTTACACTAATCTTTGGTGGCTCTTCTTCTCCAAGTCACTTTTATAAGGTAAATTTCCTTTCCTTTCCTGGGACTTGATAATTTTTTTAAAAAAAAGAACAACTCACATCTAAGTGATGGTTGCATTTGCAAAATACAATGGCAGTAGTTTTGTCTAAGATTCAGTTCAAGTATATTACAAAACTTCTGGCGGTTGTCCATTCCTTTCATGAAGATCTCAGTGAAATTCTTTATGGTTCTTTAACTCCCTTGCATAAATGTCTAGGTCTTACAATCATCTCTGTCTTAGAATGGTTAAGATGGTCATTTAAGAATAGAAAGAATACAAGAAACATTTAAATGTATGCATACTGGCATAGTAATGCAATTACTGTAACCAAAAGTAAATGTATTTGTTCTTATTAAGCATCAGTCATTTGTACTGTTCTTATGAAACGCTCTCCTCTCTTTTACACTCATCATGCTATATTTTAATATTTATTACAGAGTGATAGATTTATTAGCCTGTAAATTTTTCAGTATGAGAGATAATTTCAAGCTAGAGAAAATTAATGAACTATTTGAACTAGTGGGAGGGTCAGTTTTTTGCTGATCTGTAAGAAACTTGGTTCTCATATTTCCCACAGTGTAATGTTGATAATAATCCAAATGGAACTTTTCATGTGAATTATTTTAAAAGGCACTCAGGATGGTATTAATCTGGGATGAGCTGTAAGGAATTCCAAGGATATTCATAAGACGCCTTAGAACTTGTCATGGTTTTTTGGCAACTCTGATGAAAAGTAACTTACCTGGATTCTGGAGATTGCTGATCTTCAAAGTGCCAAATCCATGCATCAGATGACACATCTGGATTTGCTCAGCACCTCAACTCATATGTAGAAATGTGCCCCTATTG